GGGCCTGGAGTAGCTTTTAACTGACAATTATTAAACAGATAATTGACAAGTGACAGTCGTCAGCAGGGAAGGTGTGTTCCGTCCATGCCAGAAGCAGCTGACCCTGAAGAGAACTGTTGAGAGTTTGTTTGAGCCGATCTGACCACACAGGCCATGCCTGGGAGCAAGACCTCCAGTGCGCAGGCTTCTCTGCCGCCTGGAGATTCAGGAGGGGATGTGGAAGGTCACTGGAGGTCGGGAGGGGAGGACAGGATTGGTGCCTGGGGCTGTGGACTGACACATCCCTGGAAAGGCGTGGTAACCTGGATGCACAGAAACTAGGGAGGAGGCCTGCTCAGGGCAAAGATGAACCGGAAGGTTACAGGCCTGCTGGCTCCCCACCGGGACCTGCCCCGTTAGGGATGTGTGATCTGCTCACCCTGTGAGGTCACAGGGTTCCAAGGCTGACCTGGGAGAGGGCACTTCCAGCCGGGTGTGAGGCGGGTGTGAGGGGGGTGTGAGGCGGGTGTGAGGCAGGTGTGAGGCAGGTGTGAGGCCGGAACTAGAAAGGGATGGAGAACACAGGCCTCCCCTCCGAGTCCCAGGCCTGGCCCAGGTGACGGGAGATGAGCTTGGGGAGGTGGAGGGAACAGCTAAGAGCAACATGTTATGTGGATATATATACATAAATATGTTTTTATTGACTTCAGAGAGCAAGAGAGAGAGATAGAAACATCAATGATGGGAGAGAATCATCGGCTGCCTCCTGCACACACACACACCCCCACCGTCCCCCCCCACACACACACACACTCTGAGGATCGAGCTCACCCCCCAGGCATGTGCCCTTCTCTGGGAATTGAACCCAGGACCATTCTGTCTGTAGACTGACACACTATCCACAGCCAAACCAGCTAGGGCCTGGCAGGCTATTTTTAAAAACTGATTTTTAGAGAGAGAGAGAGAGAGAGAGAGACAGAGAGAGAGAGAGAGAGAGAGAGAGAAATGAGAAACATCAACTTTGCTTCACTTATTTACAAATGCATTGGTTGGTGCTTGTCTGTGCCCTGACAGCAGCTCAGCCCTGCAACCCTGGCCTATGGGAACGGTGCTCTAACCACTGAGCTGCCCAACGGGATGGAGATGTGGATTTTTTTTAAACATATTTTATTGATTTTTTATAGAGAGGATGGTAGAGGGATAGAGAGCTATAAACATGGATCAGAGAGAAACATTGATGAGCTGCCTCCTGCACACCCCCTAGTGGGGATGTGCCCGCAACCAAGGTACATGCCCTTGACTGGAATCGAACCAGGGACCTTTCGAACCTGGGACCTTTCCGTCCGCAGGCCGACGCTCTATCCACTGAGCCAAATCAGGTGTGGATTTTTTAAAGAGATGTGGATTTTTTTTTTTTTTTTCAAAAGGTGATAAATGGGTCTTTGTTCTCACTCTGAAGCCTCTTATTCTGGGTCTGGGTGTTTCCCTGAGAGGTGCTAAGTGCTCTGTGCGGACCTCGGAAATGTCTCTCCCTTAGTGGCCCTCAGAATGGCCTCCCGGTTCCCACGCTTTGCTGGGGGTTTTGGCCCCAGGCGTGTTCCAGGAAGGAGGGCTGTGCCAGCCCCTCCATCCACGTGGGGTGCTGCTCCAGGTGGGCAACGGTGGCCCCAGAAGTGGTTTCTGGAAAGTGAAGGTGCTCAGCCCCCAGGGGCCTCCTGTCACCCAGCCAGCCCCGGGGGGAGCAGCCACCCGCCTCCCAGCCCCGGGGGGGCAGCCACCAGTGTGCCCCGTCCCCTGCTCCCTGCAGGAGCTCCTCGTGCCGATGTGAGGGGCCGTGAGTGACGGGAGTGTAAGCTCCCTCTTCCTCCCTCTGTATCTTCTCATTCCCTCTCTGTGACCTTCCTCGCCCCTTCTCCTTGCTTTTCGTGCCAGTCCATGCGTTCTCTCTGGAGCCACCCGAGAGCTCGGGCACAGGTGCAGGCGTGGCTCTGCCCCAGGGAAGCCGCCTCTCTCCACCCCCCCCAACCCCCCCCCCCCCAGCAGACAGGTGCCCAGGCGGGGAGGGTGGGGGGTGCCTCCCTCTCAGAACCAGGTGCGGTGAGCGGGGCTCAGTGGGCAGTGGCGGGCGGTGGGGAAAGGGGGCAGGATTCCTCAGTGGACGTGCGTTGGCCTCTGTGGAGACGTGCTGAGACGTCGGCCTTGTGCGCAGGTAGAAGTTAAGCCCCCGGCAGGGCCTGGGTTACAGAGATGACACAGCTCAGGAGACAGGGCGGCGGCAGCAGCAGGTACAGAGTAAGACCATCGAGCACTTGGAGACCTGATGCAGGACGAGGGGCTGGTGCCGAGACTGCTGGTTTAGTTGTGCCTGTGAGGCCCCAGCCCAGCCCAGCCCCAGCCCCAGCCCCAGCCCCAGAGGTGTGGGGCGGCTGCTCCCCTGAGGGCTGGAGGGATCCCGAGAGGAGGCTGTCCAGGGTAGGTGGCCAGGATCCAGATTCAGGCCCAGCCTGCCCGCTGTCCCCGGGGCCTTTCTCTCCCAGTGGGTGGGGGTTCCCACCTGGGCTCAGCCCCGGCCAGGGTGGCTGTGCCTGGGACGCCAGGGAGAGCTGGAGACGGGGTCTCAGGTCAGCGCACCGAATGCTCACAGCTGCTCCCTCCGGAGGGGAGGCCGGTGTTAGGTGTTCCTCCGTGTTTGCCGGTGTCCAGACTTAAAGGCAGAGGACAGTCCTCCTAACTGCCCGTGATTTAACGGCCTGCCTCCTCCCACTGGGAGCTGCACCAGGCAGGGGGATTAGCTGCAGGGAGGGCACTCCAGGTGGCCTGGGCCTGGCTCAGCTGCTGGCACTCCCGCCCCGTGCTGGGAGGCTGCTGATCTGATTGGCTTCAGCAGCTGTCCGTCTAGAGGGGCAGGATGGCTTTCCGCAGGCCTGGGAGCCTTGGTCAGAGCCGGAACATTCTCATTCTGGCCGAGGGGTTTCCAGAAAAAGGCCCGGCTGCTTTCCAGTGGGGCTGCGTGTTTTACATCCGGCACCGTGGGATCTTTCCCCACCGCCTCCCAGCCCTCCTCACAGCCTTTCTGGTTGTAGCCATGCTGGCGGGGGTGATGTGGCCTTTTATTTTTCCTATGTGGGTTTAATTTATTTTGTATGTTATCCTCACCTGAGGATGTTTTCTATGGATTTTATTTTATTTTTTAATTTGGATGATTATGAGAGAGAGAGATCAATGCCACTCCAACCAGCAGAGCCGCCTGGCCAGGGCTGGCCGTGGTTCTGACCCTCCTGCTGCTGATGGCCACAGGAGGCCGCATTCCAGAGACCAGTGCTGCTGAGCACCCTCAGACTGAGGTGGCGTTTCAGCTCATTAGAGTTGCACGGGAAGCTTTCCAATCCGATTGGACGGCCGATCACTAATCCCGCTTCGGGCTGGAGGAGGGAGAGGCCGGCTCAGGACAGCCGTGGTGGCTACTGCAAAACAAGCAAGTCCCTCTGTTCCCCCTCGGGGACTCACCTGGAACACCCCCAGCCTCTTCCTGGTCTTGCTTCCCTGGCCCACCCCTGAGGCCCATTCCCTGTGGGAGGAACAGATGAACGAAAGTCCGGTGCCTTTCTGACACCTGCTCCTGGCACCTGCTCCTGGCATCGTTTGGTCTGGTCCGCTGAAGATTAGGCTAATTTGACTTTTGTAAACTGGGCTTCTTTGTAACAGCCCCACCTCTGCACGTCATAGGCTTACGTGGGTAAAAAACGGGGAATTGTACACCAGGAGAAAAGACACCATGCAATTTTAGGTTCTTATGGTGCGTGATGGCTTTTTCCTCTTAGCTGCCTTTTTATATATATATATATATATATATATATATATATATATATATATATATATATATATGTATGTATATATATTGATTTCAGAGAGGTAGGGAGAGGGAGCGAGAGAGAGAAACATCAGTGATGAAAGAGTCATTGATCAACTGCCTCCTGTATGCCCCCCCCCGCCTCATTGGGGGATGAGCCCACAACCCAGGCTGGAATTGAACCCAGGACCCTTCAGTCCACTGGCCAACGCTCTGTCCACTGAGCCAAACCAGCCCATGCTCCTAGCTGCCTTTATATATATATATATATATATATATATATATATATATACACACACACACACACACACACACACACACACACACACACATATATATATATAATTGATTTTTGTACAGAGAGGAAGAGAGAGGGATAGAGAGTTAGAAACATCGATGAGAGAGAGTCATCGATCAGCTGCCTCATGCATACCCCCTACTGGGGATGTGCCCTCAACCAAGGTACATGCCCTTGACGGGAATCGAACACGGGACCCTTCAGTCCCCAAGCCGACGCTCTATCCATTGAGCCAAACCGGTTTCGGCCCCAGCTGCCTTTTTATCCACTTTGTCCACAGGCTGCTCTGTGCAGACCATTCAGGAGACGGTGGGCTCGCTCACCCTCAGGAGGCCAGCGGGTGGGGGAGGCCGTGAGGGCAGTGGCAGCCTCTAGGGGCTGCGTGCCCCTGGGAGGAAGCAGATGGGAGCAGGATGATGGGAGACAGGACAGGCTGTAGACTCTGAACAGCTCAAATGAAATGTGCTTTCGTTGGTGGGGCAGGGCGGGACTGGACGGGCGAGCCTGCCCGGGGTCTGTGCTCGGGTAGGGTGAGTGCTTTGACCTCCTGGGGCTTGAATTCAGTCCCAGCCTCGGGGAGGAAGTCTGACTCTCAGGCTCCACACCCTGGCGCACCGGAGGCCAAGGTGTCAGCCCGCCCCACCTGGAGATAAGGGTTCAGGGCCGGCTGTGGTGACTCACTGGAGGCCTTCAGGTGGAGGGCAGGGATGGAACCACCTCCTACCCCGCCACCACTTCCCTTGTCAACTGGGTGGGGCCCAGGTGGCTGGCCGGGAGGGGAGTTGGTGGGAGGGCCAGGGCCAAGGCTAAGGACAAATTACACTCTATATAATCTATACAATCGTCTCCGTCTCCTCCCAGGAGATCCTCACGATGGCAGAAGCTCACCAGGCTGTGGCCTTCCAGTTCACGGTCACCCCCGACGGCATCGACCTGCGGCTGAGCCATGAGGCCCTGAAGCAGATCTATCTGTCCGGACTTCACTCCTGGAAGAAGAAGTTCATCAGGTTCAAGGTGTGCAGACACTTGTTCAAATCAGGGGCGTCATCCCTGAGGCTCGGGGCCGTTCTCGGGGTGAAGTACCCATATTGCCGAGTGGTTTGCGGCACCTAATTCGTATCTTCCTGGCGCCTAAGGCTCATGTCACACCTTGACACACATGGACTCGCTGAATTCTGGAAGACATTCTGGAGGCAGGTGGGGTCCCCTGTGGGGCAGGTGAGGCAGTCGGGACCCCGAGAGGGTGAGTGGCCCGCGTGGAGGGAGCAGGGTAAGGATCAGTGCCTCCCCCTCACCTTCTGGAAACCCGGTGTTTCCGGCGAAAGTGCAGCCAGTCTGTCCAACAGGTGCCTCATGGGTAACGCAGTCAAACATCGACAGACACGCACGTCAATTCAAGTGCAACTGCCTTCGCAGGTTCTCAGTTCTGTTTCCTGAAAGAGGACAGTTAATCTCTATCTTAAGCACCTGTCTTACTTTTAATCTAGTTTATTTTAAAAATCACAGACGGGCCAAAACCGGTTTGGCTCAGTGGATAGAGCGTCGGCCTGCGGACTGAAAGGTCCCAGGTTCGATTCCGGTCAAGGGCATGTACCTTGGTTGCAGGAACATCCCCAGTAGGGGGTGTGCAGGAGGCAGCTGATCGATGTTTCTCTCTCATCGATGTTTCTAACTCTATCCCTCTCCCTTCCTCTCTGTAAAAAAAATCAATAAAATATCATTAAAAAAAAAAAAAGAAATGAACATTACTAGCAAGGTGTTTATTAAAATAAATAAATAAATAAATAAATAAATAAATAAATAAAAATCACAGAAGGAGGTGTGGAGGTGGAGAAGGTGCTGGGGGTGATGGAGAAGGGTAACTGATGATGGAGAAAAAATAAGAGAGGAAAACAAAGTAAAAATCACAGAAGGAATAAATAAATGCCATGTTTAAAAAATTCAAGCAAATGAAAGGGCTTCCAGTGAAACATGAATGTCCCCCTCTCCCTTTCCCCTCAGGGTAGATTACACAGTTGGTATTTTTTAAAAATATATATATTTTATTGATATTTTACAGAGATGAAGGGAGAGGGATAGAGAGCGAGAAACATCGATGAGAGAGAAACATCGACCAGCTGCTTCCTGCACACCCCCCACCGGGGAAGTGCCCGCAACCAATGTGCATGCCCTTGACCGGAATCGAACCCGGGGCCTTTCAGTCCGTAGACTGACGCTCTACCCACTGAGCCAAACCGGTTTCGGCGACACAGTTGGTATTTTGTTTGTTGTTAATCCTCACCCGAGGATATTTTCCATCGATTTTTTTTTTTTTTTTTTTTTTTTTTTGAGTAGAAGGAACGTGGAGAGACAGAGAGAAACGTCGATGTGAGAGAGACACGTAGGTTGGTTGCCTCCCACATGTACCCCTGCCCAGGGCCAGGGATTGACCCTGCAACCCAGGTATACGTCCTTGACTGGAATGGAACCCAGGACCCTTTAGTCCGTGGCTGATCCTCTAACCACTGAGCCAAACCGGCGAGGGCCAGTGGGTGTTTTTACTCATTTTTCCTGGTAGCCAGAGGCAAAAGGCCCGGGAGCTGGAGTAGGTGAGAGCAGTGACGTAGGAGGCGGAGGGGTATGTCTGGGCTTAGCTTGTGGTTCTGGGCCCGGTCCCCGAGGGATCACACCCCGTCCCCCCGACGGGCACCGGAAGTGGGGGAGGGTGCCACCTACCGGGAAGCTTGTTTGTCCTCCTGGCCTTGCTGAGAGCTCCAGTTCCAAATAGAAAGTGGGGGGCAGAGGGGGGCTGTCATTTCAGCCCCGTGGAAATACTGTTCCTGATTTTATTTTTTTTAATTTTTTAAAAATATATTTTATTGATTTTGTACAGAGAGGAAGGGAGAGAGATAGAGAGTTAGAAACATCGATGAAAGAGAGTCATCGATCAGCTGCCTCCTGCACACCCCCTACTGGGGATATGCCCACAACCACGGTACATGCCCTTGACCAGAATCGAACCCGGGACCCTTAGTCCCCAAGCCAACGCTCTATCCATTGAGCCAAACCGGTTTCGGCCTGTTCCTGATTTTAAAGGCCTGGTCGGTCAGCTGAGGAAGGAGAACAGTAGATACGAAAACAAATGGCCTGAACAGTGCACGGCCTTCTGTAGCCAAAGGGTTTGTAGGAGCTGCCATCTGCCAGAGAGAAGGAGGAGGAGGGGTGGGCAGGGTGAGCGGGAGACGCTTTATCTAGAACCCTCCTTATCTAGAACCCTCCGTTTCATTGAGCTTAATTCCATCCCACTCCTTTTAAACAATCTTGCAGGGATGCAAGCATCTTCTTAAAAAATCAGATAAAGCACGGAGAGTTTTTAAATCCACTGTCTTGGTCAAATCAATCTCTTATTTATGGCTCCAGTAAGAATTTTTCTACTTGGAATTTGGAAACTTACACAAAAGTCAAGAGGAGGAGTCACATAGCCAAAACCTGTTTGGCTCAGTGCATAGAGCGTCGGTCTCCGGACTGAAGGGTCCCGGGTTCGATTCCGGTGAAGGGCATGTACATTGGTTGCAGGGGCGTCCCTGGTAGGGAGTGTGCAAGAGGCAGCTGATCGATATTTCTAGCTCTCTATCCCTCTCCCTTCCTCTCTGTAAAAAATCAATGAAATTAAAATTAAAAAAAAGGAGTGGCACTGCTCACCTCCCAGGATCCACTGCTAACATTTTGCCAGTTTTGATTCATTTTCCTTCACCCCCCCCCACTTCTTGCTACTCTTTGGGGATTTTTTTTGGACGGGGGGGGGGGGGGTTAGGGGAGGGTTTGTCTGAAGTGTCTTACACCACATTCTCTACCTGGAGTGAGGATACTGCAGACACTTCAGGATAACAGGGCATCTGGGGCAGGGGTGGGAGAGTGTGGGGTGGGGGAGTGTGGGGTGAGGAAGTGTGGGGTGGGAGTGTGGGGTGGGGGTGTGAGGGGTGGGGGAGTGTGGGGTGTGGAGTGAGAGGTGGGGAGTGTGGGGTGGGGGAGTGAGGGGAGGGGGAGTGAGGGATGGGGGAGTGTGGGTGAGGAGTGAGAGGTGGGGAGTGTGGGGTGGGGGAGTGAGGGGTGGGGGAGTGAGGGGTGGGGGAGTGTGGGGTGGGGGAGGGGGGGTGGGGGTGTGAGGGGTGGGGGAGTGTGAGGTGGGGGAGTGTGGGGTGGGGGAGTGAGGAGTGGGGGAGTGAGGGGTGGGGGAGTGAGGGGTGGGGGAGTGAGGGGTGGGGGAGTGTGAGGTGGGGGAGTGAGGATTGGGGGAGTGAGGGGTGGGGGAGTGAGGGGTGGGGGAGTGTGAGGTGGGGGAGTGAGGGGTGGGGGAGTGAGGGGTGGGGGAGTGTGGGGTGGGGGAGTGAGGGGTGGGGGAGTGTGAGGTGGGGGAGTGAGGAGTGGGGGAGTGAGAGGTGGGGGAGTGTGGGGTGGGGGAGTGAGGGGTGGGGGAGTGTGGGGTAGGAGAGTGAAGGGTGGGGGTATGAGGGGTGGGGGAGTGTGGGGTGGGGGAGTGTGGAGTGGGGGAGTGAGGGGTGGGGGAGTGAGGGGTGTGGAGCGAAGGGAAGGGGAGAGAAGGGTGGAATTGGAGAGGGCTGTCCCGGGGCATCTCAGGTTGGGGAGTAGCAGGTTGGGGAGTAGCAGGTTGGGGAGTAGCAGGTTGGGGTGTAGCAGGTTGGGGAGTAGCAGGTTGGGGAGTAGCAGGTTGGGGAGTAGCAGGTTGGGGAGTAGCAGGTTGAGGGTGTAGCAGGTTGGGGAGAGCACTTCCTGCTTGGCTCAGTGACATCCTTAATCCCTGGGTGTCGTTGCTCCGTCTGGGTGGATGGAGGAATGACACCCAGGAATCTGCATGCTAAACTCGGGTGATTCTAACTTCCTGGGGTCACTCTGGGTCACTCTGGCTCAGAAGTCCAAGAAGGGAGGCTGAGGCCCCTGCAGCTGCAGCTGGAGGCTCTGGGGGAGGTTGTCCGGGCGGCAGCGGGGTCCCTGCTGCAGACACCCTCCCGGGCCTGACGCTGCCCCGGGCGCCTGTCTCTTCAGAATGGCATCATCACCGGCGTGTACCCGGCCAGTCCCTCCAGTTGGCTCATCGTCGTGGTGGGCGTGATGTCCACCATGTACGCCAAGATCGACCCCTCGCTGGGGATCATCGAGAAGATCAACCGGACCCTGGGCACCACGTGAGTGACCAATCCTCCGTGTTCTGTCCTCCCGGGCCCCGGCTAAGGCTCCCTCTGCCCTGAGCAGTTCAGGCCCGTCTCCAGGAAACACCAGGCCCCTCGTCCTTGTGCCACGTGCGGGCTTTGCGTTTCCGGCCAGGGCTTCCGTGGAACTGGGTCTCTTAGGGATGAGAAGCAGCTCGCATGTGCGTGTGCGTGTGTTTGTGGGTATGCGTGTGTCTGCCCGGCTCCCGCTGCTGTGGGGTCTGGCCTGAGCATAAGCCAGCCGATGGTTCAGATTTAAATATGGTTCCTTCAGAAGCCCTTGGACTCCAGCTGGGTGTCCACAGCCTCACGGGCCCCGGGGGCGTGGCCCCGCCTTGATAAGCCTGTGCGAGGCCCTGCGAGATCTCCCCGCCATGTGCCCTGGAAGCGCCTGCCCTGGACCCCCGCCAGGTGCCCGGGCTGCCTGCGGGCAGGGACTCGCCAGCCCGGCCCGGCCGCTCTCCTTTCATCCCTCCGTTCCCACCCGGCAGCCGCCGTGCCAGTCTTACCTGCTCCTCACACTGGCCTGGCGTGGGTTGACCGCAGATGCTTAATTTGCTCTCCGCTGCGGGCTGCTCTGAGCACTGGATTGTGGACGTGCCGGCTCGCTAAAGCCCTTTCATGAGGATCTTTACAAGATTTGCCTCTTTGTCCCTCTCCACCGAGGGTGGTGACGGGGCCACCCTGCCCCACGTTTAGAAAGCGCCGGAGCTGTGTCCGTGGGGCCGGCACGGTGTTCCGTGTGGACAGGTCTTTGACGGGAGCTCATCCGCGCCTGCTCTTTACGGAAAAGCGCCTTCGGTTTATAGGGAAGCAGTGCTGGCCCTGCCGTGTGTTTGCTCACGCCGGAACGCCGTGTGGGTTCTGTGCACCGAGGAGGTGTGTGTGTGTGTGTGTGTGTGTGTGTGTGTGTGTGTGTGTGCCTCCTTTGGGGATGTCATGCGTAGACATCTCCACTGCAGGCCCTCTCAGAGGAGGGTCTCCCGGCCCCGCGTCCAGGTTTGCCCGTGGACCGGCTATGGGGAAAGAGGTTTCAGTGGAGATGACAGGTCTGGCAGGCTCAGGAAGAGGCGAGTGCTGTGGCAGAGGCGTGTGCGGTGTCTGGTGCCACTGCAGGAGGCCCACGTGTTCCATGGATGGCTTTCCAAATCTCGGAGACTCCTGTCACACACTGGTCTGCTCTAGGGATGTCAGGGAGAAAAACACCGCGTTTTTACTCTGCAAACACCCTGCAGTTCCCCCAAGCCACGGAGACGAGGAGCAGGACACAGAGGCACAAAGCGCCCGCGTGGCTGTGCTTCTCCTCGCGCGCAGGGTCTCCTCTCGGCCTCTCTTGCCCGCTCACGCGTCCCCGGCTTGTGTCGTCCCGTCCCGGCAGGGCCAACATGTCCAGCCAGACGAAGCACGTGGTGAGCGGCGTGCTGTTCGGCACGGGCCTGTGGGTGGCGCTGATCTTCACCATGCGGTACTCCCTCAAGGTGCTGCTGTCCTACCACGGCTGGATGTTCGCCGAGCACGGCAAGATGAGCCGGGCCACCAAAGTCTGGATCGTAAGTGGGCGCGCCCCGGGCCCAGGGCGGGGGCCCGCGGGACCCAGCGTGGCGGACGGGCGAGGGCGAGGCGGTGGGGCCTGGGCAGCCCCCGCTGTGTTTGGAGACACGTGGACGCCCAGGCGGTGACACCTTCCCTCCCCCCAAAGTTTCCTCGGGTCCCCCCTTTCTCCTAAGTCTCCGGAACGTACTAAGACATGGTACCCCTTACCCATCGGGCCTTCCTTTCCCACCCTGGTCAGGCTCTGTCACTGGGGCTGTTTTAGATTGCACAGGCCAGCGAGGCCCTGGCGTTTGTCCCTCTGGGCTTGGCTCATCTCACAGAGCTTTTACTTTTTCTTTTAAGAACATTTTTATTGCCGAGACCGGTTTGGCTCAATGGATAGAGCGTCGGCTTGGGGACTGAAGGGTCCTGGGTTCGATTCCGGTCAAGGGCATGTACCTTGGTTGCGGGCATATCCCCAGGAGGGGGTGTGCAGGAGGCAGCTGATCGATGACTCTCTTTCATCGATGTTTCTGGCTCTCTATCTCTCTCCCTTCCTCTCTGTACAAAAATTTTTTTTTTTTTTTAAAGAACATTTTTATTAATTGCAGAGAGGGAGGGAGAGGGAGAGGGAGATAGAATCAATATTGAGAGGGAATCTGCACGGCCCCCACTGGGGATTAAGCCCCCAACCTGGACATGGGCCCTTGACCAGAATCGAACCCGGGACCCTTTAGTCCACAGGCTGATGCTCTATCTACTGAGCCAAACCAGCAAGAGCGAGCTTTTACTTTTTATGTATCACTGATCGGCTGCCTTCCAGCACGCCCCACATTGGGGATCGAGCCCACAACCCAGACATGTGCCCTTGACCGGAATTGAACCTGGGACCCTTCAGTCCACAGGCCGACGCTCTGTCCACTGAGCCCAACGGGCCAGGGCAGCTTTCACTTTTTAAAGAAGGATCCGCACAGGACCTTCTCTCCCTCTGACCCTTGGTGTTGCCGGGGAGGATGGATTCATGGTGACTCATGAGTCTGGGACCAAAGGATGTGAGTTCTGGGCATTTTATGTTTGTCCGCGAGGTGGGTCCTCCAGGTCATCCATGAAATAGAAGTGTCATTTTCCCACGTGAGGTCACGGCTGAGTGGCTGCCCCGGCTGACCAGCCGCCTCTGACTCATCCTGAGCTTCTAGTCATTTCCACCTGCTCTCACCCCTGGCCCGCCAGTCAGGCATCTGCCGAGGGCGGGGCTGTCTGTACCGCTGCCGGCCGCCTCTGGCTCTGTCTGCGTGCTGATTGCCGCCACCGGGGCTGCTAGTGAGAGAGGTTTGGGGGCCACCTCGTGTGTGAGCCCACTGTACCCTTCACCCCTCAGCCCTCACCCCTCACCCCACCACTCTTCTGTCACTGCTTCATTCCGCTTTCTAATTCCCGTAGAAGCACAGTGTAACACCAGAGGGGATGCCCGCACTTGACAAAACCAGTTCCGTGAGGCTCCCTGGATGGTTGAGGCCCAGTTGGGTCCAGAATCTCACCCCCCGCCCCGTGAGCCCTGGACCCTCCTCTGAGGTCTGGTCGGCGTGGTATGACCAGCTTTAGGTCACTGCAGCCTCAAGCAAGGCCGATGGTGGGCAAGCGTGCTGTCCGCTGGCCTTGACGGTGACCGAAAGGGCCACGCTGCCCTGCTGGGCTCGGCCAAGGCCCAGGCACCTCGGTCGGCCCTTCTCGCCACTGACAGAGGCCCTGCGCCCATCCAGAGGCCAGGAGCCTCGCAGGAGTGGGAGGGTGGCTTCCCCGGGTGCGGAGGCAGTCAGACGGAGCCCCCAGGGGCCCGGGGTCCGTACAGCGCCGGACGGGGTGCGGCATCTCCAGCACCTGAGCTTCCGCTCAGCCTGGTTATTCGGGGTCACCCGTGTCTGCCGAGGCCTGCGAGGGCGGGGGCAGAAAATGGAGTTGGGGGAAAACGAACCACAGTAACGGTAAGTTGCAGGCCCCGGTGAACGGTGTCCGCTGTCTCGCCGTTTAACACGTGCCTTTTCTTGAAGGGGATGGTGAAGCTCTTCTCGGGCCGGAAGCCCATGCTGTACAGCTTCCAGACGTCTCTGCCGCGCCTGCCCGTGCCCGCCGTGAGCGACACCGTGAGCCGGGTGGGTGTCCCTCGGTCACAGCACGCCCCTCGCCGAGGGGGGAGGGAGGGTTAGGACTCAGAGACAACTGCCCTGAACTCGCTGTCCTCTGGGGTGTGAGCGCCCAGCAGCGGCTGAGGCTGTTCCAGGGCATGTTTTTCCCCATCAGCACATCTTAGGTGTTTTATTCTTCCCCCAGCCCTCCCGCCACTTAAGATGTTTTTAAAAAAATATACTTTATTGATTTTTTTACAGAGAAGAAGAGAGAGGGATAGAGAGTTAGAAACATTGATGAGAGAGAAACATCGATCAGCTGCCTCTTGCACACCCCCTACTGGGGATGTGCCCGCAACCAAGATACATGCCCGTGACTGGAATCGAACCTGGGACCTTTTAGTCTGCAGGCCGACGCTCTATCCATTGAGCCAAACCGGTTTCAGGAACTTAGATTTTTTTTTTATATATATATTTTATTGATTTTTTTACAGAGAGGAAAGGAGAGGGATAGAGAGAAACATCGATGAGAGAGAATCATCAATCAGCTGCCTCTTGCACACCTCCTACTGGGGATGTGCCCGCAACCCAGGTACATGCCCTTGACCGGAATCGAACCCGGGACCTTTCAGTCTGCAGGCTGACGCTCTATCCACTGAGCCAAACAGGTTTCGACAACTTAGATGTTTTTTAATAAAAGGTATCATATATGTTAGTGAAACCACTTGGCAACTTTTTAAAACAACTTTGTTGAAATATAACTCACTCCCGTGTCCACATCATTGGTTTTGTTGGATTCCATTACTAATTGTTTTGTTTTTTAAATCCTCACCTGAGGACACCTTTTTATTTTAGACAAGATGGGAGAGGGAGACACACAGACACATCAATATGAGAGATAAACATTGATCTGTTGTCTCCCGTACGCTCCTGGATTGGAGGTTGAATCCGCAACCTACGTATGTGCCCTGCCTGGGAATCAAACCCAGGACCTTTTGGGGTATGGATGGCACGCCAACCAACTGAGCCACCCAGCAGGGCATGACTAATTGTTTTAAGTTGTTCCTGTCATTGTTCCGGCTCCTCCTTCTGCCCTGGTGTGGGAGGCACTGGGCAGCACTGCCCGCACTTGGTGCTCTCCCCATCCTTCCCCCCCCTACACCTAGTGCCATCACTGCAGCCAGTGAGAACGGAGCTTTGGGAAGGGCCGGGGACACCCCTGCAGTGTCCTGTTAACATCTTTAACACACTGATCTGGAAGTCACGTTGATGGTTTTCTGGTGACGCAGGGTCTGGGCGCTTGCAGGCCAACAAAGAATGGACGGGAGTGATTGTCAGTCACCGCCCAGGTCGCCGTTCAGCGTTGGGGTTGGCCAGCTGGTGGAGGACTGGCAGCGTGGCGGAAGCCGTGGCCGCCTTTTCCGTGTGTGCGCGTTTTCCCAGAGGGAGCCGTGTGCTAACGGGCTGTGTTTCCCTCACGAACCCAGTACCTGGACTCCGTGAAGCCCCTCATGAAGGAAGCCGACTTCCAGCGGATGACGGCTCTCGCCGAGGACTTTGCCGTCAGCCTCGGGCCGAAGCTGCAGTGGTACCTGAAGCTGAAATCCTGGTGGGCCACCAACTACGTAAGTGCATGCCCACGGTTTTTCCTGATTGAATTCTAACCCAGAAACCAGATTTCTCATGTGAGGTACTGATCCGTTCCCAGGACATCAGGCGTCCCCATGGGTGGCAGCCAGAGGGGACTTTGGCGGGCGGGTGGCCGGTGGGGTGGGGGTCTAGGTTTTGAGGAACAGCTGGAAGAGAGGTGTTGGCATCGGGACTCGGAGTGGGCGTGGCACAGGGAGTGAGTGAGACGGGGCGGGGGGAGGGGGAGAACGCTCCTTTTTGGAGCAGGTGCGGGGCGCACGGGGTGTCAAATTCTTACACTTGCCCTCAGACCCTTCCCTGCACACCAGTCTGCGAATAGCACTTGCAACACGTGACCTTAAAAAACCCACTCCACCCCCCATGTTCTCGCATGAAACACCCCCAGCCCCATGGGACCAGTGCCCTCTGGTTGAGCTCATCTGTTCGCACCAACAGGTGAGCGACTGGTGGGAGGAGTACATCTACCTGCGCGGACGGGGGCCGCTGATGGTCAACAGCAACTACTACGCCATGGTGAGTGCTCCCGGCGCCACGTGAGCGCTCCCGGGGCTGCCGGCCCTCCCGGCTGCTGGGGAGGCTCCAGGGCTTGGCCCGGCCCCTCCTGTTCTGCCACCTCTGCCCAGGGCTCCACCCCCGCCCGTCGGCCCCCGCGGGCCCGCTCCCCGCTGACGCGCGCTCCGTTTCAGGATTTGCTGTACGTGCAGCCCACCCACATCCAGGCCGCCAGGGCGGGCAACGCCATCCACGCCATCCTGCTGTACAGGCGCAAGCTGGACCGGGAGGAGCTCAAACCGGTGAGCAGACACCGCGTCTCAGAAACACCCTCGGCTTTGTGAGGCACCCGTGTGTGAGCTCTGACACACGCGCCCGTCACACCCCGGGCCGCGACGGCCAGCACAGCCACCCTCCAGAGTTCCCCGGGCGCTTGGGACTCTGCCTCCTGCCCCCGTCCCTTCCTGACCCCCCTCCTCACCCATCGCCCGCCAGCCCACTCCTGTCCGCCTCCCGGCACTCCGGGCCCGCGGGCGCCGAGCCGTGGTCCGTGAGGTCCCAAGGGTTGGTGACCGCTCCGGCTGCTTTGTGACCCCCAATGCTTTATGTCAATGGGAGCATCGGGGTGCTTCTGGGGGAGGGACACGTCTGGTGTACTTCTATCATTTGCCCCTTGAAGAGACTCTTGCTCACTTTTTTTTTTTTTTAAATACAAAGGAAATATTTTATTCAAATTTCATTTTATTTATCCCATCACCACGTATCCCCTCTGTGCCTTCTTCCATCTCCACCCATCCCTTCCCCACAATCACCACGCTCCTGACCACGTCCGTGAGTCTCTCTCTTTCGCTGAGTCCAGCCTTCCTCCAGCGCCCTCCCTCTTGTTGACTTTTGAAGGAAAACAGTGTAGCTGGTGAGCCGCTCAGAAATAAGACGTGGCTTTCGTAAATACCCTTTGGTTGAGAAGTGTCCACGGTTTATACACGACCAGCCAGCGTGTCACTCAGGGGCGTGGCGTGGGAAGCGGGGGCATGGCCAGGTCCTGCGGGGAAGTCCCAGGAGGCGGGCGCCCCGGGAACGCTGCTCTTCACGGAGTGAGGGGAACAGTGAGCCGGACCCCACGCCCCGCACAGAGCGGAGCCGGCACTGCCCGTGTGTCGTCCGCCTGCTCCTCTGTCCTCTGGAACCTTCCCGTGTGGCACGTGTTTCTGTCGCAGATTCTCCTCCTGGACTCCACGGTGCCGCTCTGCTCCGCGCAGTGGGAGCGGATGTTCAACACGTCGCGGATCCCCGGAGAGGAGACGGGTGAGTGAGCCGCCGGGCCTTCTCGCTGGTGTTCTAGGCCTCCCCCTCCGGTGAAATCCATACCTCTGTGTTTCATCCTCTTCGATGCAGTCATAAATGGGGTTTTCTTTTTTAAAAAAATTGATTTCAGAGAGGAAGGGAGAGGGAGAGAGAGAAAAGCATCCATGAGAGAGAACCATTGGATGGCTCCCTCTAGCACATCCCCCACTGGGGGTCCAGCCCACAGCCTGGGCCTGTGCCCTTGGCCAGAATCAACCCAGGACCCGTCAGTCTGAAGGCTGACGCTCTATCCACTGAGCCAGGCTGGGATTTTTTTTTTCCCCCCCTGAATTTCTTTTTCTGGTTGTTCATTATTAGTGTATAAAGATGCAACTGGTTTTTATATCCTGCAATTTTATACTGAAGGTTTAAAAAACTTTTTTTTTTTTTTTTTTTTTTTTTTTTTTTTAGAGAGAGTGGGAGAAAAAAGAGAAACATCCATTTTTGTTCCACTTACTTATGCAGTCACCGCTGGGTGGGTTCTTGAACCGGCCCCGCCCAGGGGTTGAACGTGCAGCCTCGGTGTCTTGGGACGATGCTCTAACCCACTGAGCCATGGCCAGGGCTGTGCTGACTTGGCCAGTTCTTTTTTTTTTTTTTTAATATATTTTATTGATTTTGTACAGAGAGGAAGGGAGAGAGAGAGTTAGAAACATCGATGAGAGAGAGTCATCGATCAGCTGCTTCTTGCACACCCTCCACTGGGGATATGCCTGCAACCAAGGTACATGCCCTTGACCGGAATCGAACCCGGGACCCTTCAGTCACCAAGCCGACGCTCTGTCCATTGAGCCAAACCGGTCCCGGCTGACTTGGCCAGTTCCAACAGCTTTTGGTGCAGCCGCCAGGGGTTGCTGTGTACAATAGCAGGTCATCTGTGAGCCGTGACGTCTTCTTCCTTCCTTCCCGCTCTGGGCAAGCCCACAGCTGACAGGCTCGAGGCCGAGAGCTCTTCCTCTGAGACCAGGCACCGGGCCCTCTCTAGTTCCTGCGCGTCCGTCCGGGTGAGGGCAGCCTGCTGGCTCGTTCTCCAGACGAGGCCGTGGAGGCTGCGCGAGGTTCTGTCCGTGGCCGGAGCCGATGAGTCTCTGGCAGAGCAGAGCCTGGAGCCGGGCCTGTCTGACCCTGTACTTAACTCCCCCTCCGCCCCCGCGGACAGGACAGGAGGCAGGGACGTGGGAGCCGGCGTCCCCTCCTCTAACCGGGTCCGTCCTGCCCGCAGACACCATCCAGCACGTCCGGGACAGCAGGCACATCGTGGTCTTCCACAGGGGCCGCTACTTCAAGGTCTGGCTGTACCACGACGGCCGGCTGCTGCGGCCCCGCGAGCTGGAGCAGCAGATGCAGCGGATCCTGGACGACCCGTCGGAGCCGCAGGCCGGGGAGGCCAAGCTGGCGGCCCTCACCGCGGGGGACAGGTGTGTGCGTGGACGGCGGCTGCCTCCGGGCTGTGCCCACGGTCCCGCGCCCCCCCCCCCCCCCGAGTGACCTTGGCCGCCTCCGTGTGACGGGCAGGCACGCGCACAGGCGCCAGGGCACGAGGCAGAGGGAAGTCAGGGGTTAGGCTTTCTCACGGGCTGCCCCGGATTTAATTTAGGAAACGGAAGAGTTTGAACCAAGGCCCGTGCCAGGGTTGCTTTGGTTAGGACCCGTCGTGTTCATGGGCCTTTTGGCACCACGGGCACCTCGGCGGCCAAGCGCTCGGGCAGAGAAGAGGGCGGGAGAGGGGCCAGACGACCATGGCCTGCAGGCGGGCAGGGGCCCTAGGCCCGGGGAGGCACCGAGGGGCCAGGGCTGTCGGAGGAAGCCGCCAGGTGTCCGCCAGGTCCCATGCGAGGTGGTCAGAACAGAACCGCTCAGGTCTGGCTCCCGGGGTCCCTCGTTGAGAGATGCCACAGGTGCCTGGGCTCCGGCAGGCTGGCTTGGGTGCGAACCCCCCTCTGCCTGGCACACAGGAGCCGTGACTTCCCTCGGGGCCTGTTCCCTCGTCTGGAGGAGGGGTGGCCGGCGTCCATCAGGGCTCTCTAGCCACAGCCCCCGCTGCCAGAACCTGGGACGGTCACGGAACGTGCGCTTCACGTTCCTAAAAAGCCCACGGACACGAGGGACACGCTGTCCTGACAAACGTGGCCCTCCCCGCAGGGTGCCCTGGGCCCGCTGCCGCCAGGCCCACTTTGCGCGCGGGAAGAACAAGCAGTCCCTGGACGCCGTGGAGAAGGCGGCCTTCTTCGTGACGCTGGACGAGGCCGAGCAGGGCTACCGGGAGGAGGACCCCGGCGCCTCCCTGGACAGCTACGCCAAGTCCCTGCTGCACGGCCGCTGCTTCGACAGGTACGCCCCGCCGGGAGGGCGGCTCCGCCCGGGCCTGAGGGTGTAGCCAGCCCGCCTCGGCCGCGGGACCCTGAAGACATGGCTTCTCCTTCCTCTCCACCCGACTTGTCTGTCTCTCGTCCGTCTCTTCCCACACACACACACACACACACACACACGCACACACACGTGCACCCGCTCACAGCTGAAGCAGCGAGTCTCTCCCTCCGTGCATGCCCGCCTCCCTTTGCGGATGCCAGTGAGGCGTGGGGCCAGTTCCCCAGGCGGGGAAGGTGGCAGCTGGGCCCGAGACAGCTATGAGGCAGTTCCCCGCAGGTGCGGGCAGGCACAGGGAGCCTCGCAGCTCTCCGGAGTCGCTGCCCGTGTCCTTGCTGTTGTAACAGCTTGTCCTCCAGGAAGCGCGCAGGCCGCGCGTCCCGAGGGAGCCCGTGTTCCCGAGGCTCGGAGGTCGGCGGCCTCGGGGAAGGAACTGTCCGGCCGGGGGCGGAGGCAGGACCCCTCCCAGGAGGGAGCGGTCTCCGTGTCCGACGCTGACGTTCCGCAAACGCCTCTGTTTCCCCGCAGGTGGTTTGACAAGTCCTTCACGTTCATTGTCTTCAAGAACGGGAAGATGGGCATGAACGCCGAGCACTCCTGGGCCGACGCGCCCATCGTGGGCCACCTCTGGGAGGTGAAGGCGCGCAGGGGGGCCAGGGCGAGGAGCTGTCGGTGGAAACCCGCTCCCCGGCAGGGGTTTCGCGTGGGGTTTGTCTGGCTGTGTTTTCTATGTGTTTATCGATTCCACAGAGAGGAAGGGAGAGGGGGAGAGAGAGAAACGTCAGCGGGAGAGAATCAGAGATTAGTTGCCTCCTGCACCCCCCCCCCCCCCACTTGGCATCTAGCCCACAACCCGGGCATATACTTTGGAGGACAAACACGATTTTGTTTTTTTCTTTCCGTCTGTTTTGTTAATCCTCACCCGGGGATATTTTTCCCATTATCTCTTCAGAGAGAGAGCGTAAGGGGAGAGGGGAGAGGGAGAGAGAAACATCGATGTGAGAGACACACACCGACTGGTTGCCTCCTGTGCATGCCCCTGACAGGGAACCACACCCTCTACCCTTGCGTGTTCGGTGAGCACTCTAACCACCGAGCACCCTGGCCAGGTGGGACACACGCGTGTTCCCTGACACTGTGAACTGTGTCATCTTCTCTGACTCCACGTGTGTCTCTCCCCCGACAGTACGTCATAGCCACCGACAGCTTCCAGCTGGGCTACCTGGAGGACGGGCACTGCAAAGGGGACACCAACCCGAACATCCCGCCCCCCACGCGGCTGCAGTGGGACATCCCGGAGGAGGTGAGTGGGCTGGTCCCTGGAGCGGGTCCCCGTGGCGGGCCCGTGCTCACAGCCCCGGGGAAGGCCCCGGAGACCGGAATCCGTCCGCCTCACAGAGTTTGGCAGAGCCGTGGAGCGCTCCAGCTCCTGTAGCCTCAGACACCCCAGCAAATCCTCCTCCTTCCGTGCTGAGCTTTTAGCTGAGCGGGCCGGGGAGTGTTCCAGCTCAGACTCGGCCCCACGACGCAGAGAGAACGTGACAGACAGACCGCTTCCTTTTACCGCTGAAATACTCGGAGCCACTCACGTATCATGTTTGTTACTCCTCACGAATCTCAGATGTCCACCTAGTACAGGTTTTTTGGGGGGAGGAATTTTAGGGCTAGGAATGCCAAATCCTGGCTGTCTGATCCAAGCAGGAATTCCTCAGGCCCAAGAAGTAACTTTTTAATTTTTTTTTTATTTTATTTTAATTTTTTAAAAATATATTTTATTGATTTTTGTACAGAGAGGAAGGGAGAGAGAGAGTTAGAAACATCAATGAGAGAGAGTCATCGATCAGCCGCCTCTTGCACACCCCCCACCGGGGACGTGCCCGCAACCAAGGCACATGCCCTTGACCGAAATCGAACCCGGGGCCCTTCAGTCCCCAAGCCGACGCTCTATCCATTGAGCCAAACCGGTCCTGGCACTTTTTTAAAATTTTAAAAAACATCTATTTCTCACTGAAAGGAACAATTTTCAGCAATGCTTGTTTAAAACCCCCTGGCTGTAAACTGCTTTTAGAAATACCCATAAAGTACATTTGCAGACCTCAGCATACACCAGGTTTACATTTTTATTTATTTATTTATTTATATTTTTTAATTGATTTTTTATTTTTTACAGAGAGGACAGGAGAGAGATAGAGAGCTAGAAACGTCGATGAGAGAGAAACATCGACCAGCTGCCTCTTGCACACCCCCTACTGGGGATGTGCCCGCAACCAAGGTACATGCCCTTGACCGGGATCGAACCCGGAACCTTTCAGTCTGCAGACCGACGCTCTACCACTGAACCAAACTAGTTTCGGCTAAATTTTTATTTTAATCCTCATCTGAAGGCATGCTCATTGATTTCAGAGAGGGGAAGGTAGACAGATAAAGAGAGAGGGAAACATGGATGTGAGAGAGAAACATCGGTCAGGTGGTTCCCATATGCCAAAACCAGAGTCTGAACCGGAAACCGAGATAGATGCCCCGACCGGGAATCGAACCCGAGACCTTCCCGTGTGTGGGACGATGCTCCATCCCCACCCGGCCCGGGCTGCACCACTTTTTTCATTTTGTTGTAAGAGTTGAACGTTTTGGGGCTGGAAGTGGTTTCCAACGTAGAGAATAAAGGGCCCTGTGCTGAGCCTTCCCAGCCTTCTGCCCCTGCGCCCCCTTTTCTGCCCTTCCCCGTCGTCACTGAGGGCGCTGCGCCCGGCGCCTCAGACGGGCCGTGCCCTCTCAGGGGCTCAGGGAAGGCTCCTCCGCGTGACTTCACAGCAGAGAGCTCCTTCCGTGGCAGGATTGGACCACCGTGCATTTATTCTTTAAAACGGGCCCTCCATCCCCGTGTAGAATACGGGGCTTCACAGAGCGTGCCGCGGCTGCTGGGAGTGCCCAATGGGTCTGACTTGGAACCAGGAAGCCCCGTGCTCTGCCTGCGGGGGCCCCGTGGCACCTCAAGGCGGGCACACGGTGACCTTTCTGGAAAGAGCCAAGGGGAAAGCGTGGCGGCATCTGTGTCGCTCTGTGGGCTGTGCTGGGACCCTCCTGCGTGTCGGCTCTTCCCCCACGGAAACCTTCCTCTCCCCCTCCTCCTCAGTGTCAGGAGGTGATCGAGACGTCCCTGAGCACCGCCAACCTCCTGGCCAACGACGTGGACTTCCACTCCTTTCCCTTCGACACGTTCGGGAAGGGGCTGATCAAGAAGTCCCGCACCAGCCCGGACGCCTTTGTGCAGCTGGCCCTGCAGCTGGCGCACTACAAGGTGAGGCGGGTTTGTGGGGAGCTGGGCCCTGCACAGGCGGGGGTGCTGGGGGTGCGGGGGCGTGGGGGGCTAAGGCCTGAGGCCTGTCCGGGGAGAGGCCCGGCGTGCTGCCAGGGGGTGGCGTCGCGTGGCGGCTGGGTGGGGTGTGGTGGTGTCCCCCATCCCACAGGACAGGGAGGGGAGCACAGCCAGATCTCACTGCCCTGCAAAGTGGACACGTGACCCTTAAACTCAGCTCTGACCCTGAGGGTTTGGGGAAGCAGATACCCTTGGGGCAGATGACTGATGTCTCTGACCTTGGACGTGGACTAAGTTTACTCATGATTGTAGATGCAATAGACTCTCCCAGATTGTCCACAGCTGCGTTGTTTTGCTGTTTTTTTTTTTAAATATATTTTTACTTATTTCAGAGAGGAAGGGAGAGGGAGAGGGAGAGAAAAATCAATGAGGAGAGAGATACATCTATTGGTTGCTTCCTGCGTGCACCTGACCGGGGCGGGGATCGAACCTGCCACCCAGGCACGCTCCGTCGACCAGGAACTTTTTAGTGCATGCTCAGTTGAGCACCAGCTCATTTCGGGATGGGGCTCTCTGTAGAGCTAAGGGTCAGGCCCACTTCTGCCCAGCTCCGAGCAGCGCGGCCTCAGTCTGGGCGTCCTGCCTGGTCCTGGGGTCTGCTCCAGGCTTCCGGACCTTCTCTGCACCAGGGCCCCTTGGGCAGTTTGGCAAAGCCCTGGGGACCCTTCCCAGAATAATGTTTTAAAGCGTAACAGGAAATACCGAGCTGAAACAGGTGATTTAAACACAGGTGTCAGGACATTCAGCAGGAGTTTGTGTGCATGAAGCATAATTCTTTGTGCACTAATTATTTGAGCAGCAGGCCTAAGAGCGGCTGTACCTCTGAGGCAAGGATAAGCGTGGATGATATTTTGGAATATGTGCGACAAACGTAACTTGATGTGAAAGCAGCTATGATTTTCTACTCAAAGTCACAGGCACTGCTCATTATTCCTATGGCTTATGGCCTGTGCTCCGTAAGGTGATAATTCCAGCTTGAAGTTAGCGGAGACTAAAATATTTGTGTTTTCCCTTCCAAGTTCACACAGCCCCAAGGTTAGTAACCAGTGATCTGGTCCCTGGCTACGCTCCCAGCCTTCTCTGGTACCACTCCGAGCCTCGTGCACTGTGTTTGTCACTCTGCCCTTCTTGCTGCTCCCGGCGATGGGAAGCTCATTCCTACCGCAGGGCCTTTGCACCTGCTCTCTGCCGGCAGGTGCTCTCTTCCCGCGTGAGGCGTGGTGGCTGAGGTCTCTCACGGTGCCACCCTCCATCACTCTCCCCTAGCCCAGCAGCGTCATTTCTGTTCGGTGCACCTGTCACTCACCATGTGACCTCACGCCATCACCTGCCGGGCGGTTTGCGCCTCGAGGGCAAGCTCGCGGTCAGTCTTGTGTGCTGCGGTATCTGCAGGGCCAGGAGCGTGCCCGCCTCGCAGGAAGAGACAGACACATATTTGATGACTGGCCGAACGCGACACTGGACAGCGGCCATCGTCTTAGTCTGTAGTCATCTGCTTCCTGCTTTTAGGCGTTTTTGCTTTTCATGAGGGAGCGGGGGTGAACATGCCCCACGCTGTGTCACAGGTCTGTTCTCACGTGTCCTGCGCGTGTTACTGTCTTTGTAGACACTGCCTCTCCATCCTGGGCGCTAGACGCCGGAGGCGCGGTGGCGGCGGTGAGCGGCCGCTCCCGGCGGCCTTGGCAGGTTCGGTGGGGGCAGGCGCTGCGGGCCTGGCTCTGGGGTCTGAGCGCACGAATAGCCTGCGTTTGCCGCCGGGTGTCGGAGGGCCCTGTCTGCGGGGGTGGCTCTCGTGCATGACGGGGCTAGTGTGACGTTCGAGTGTGACGCTGGAAAAGCCGACTTCACGTAAATCATGGCTTCCTGTGGCCCGTTAACCCCTGAGTGACTAAAACGCCTGGTGCTTTTCCTGTCCCCATATCCCCCCTCCTTCAGCGAGCCCCTGGAACACCCTGTCGGGGGGCCTGTGAGGGCCCTAAAGGGCCGAGTGATAAACCTGGATCCCTCTCCCTGAGGCCGGAGGAGCGAGAGCCCTCGCAGGCCGGCCCGAGGGGAGCGGGCGGCGGAGACTCAGTGGCCGGCGATGGGAGCGGGCAGTCTCTGTTGGGGGCACCGTGACTCCTCCAGTGCGGATCCAGGAGGCTGGGCACAGGCACTGCAGGGCTACCTCCCCAGCTGGGCCCGCCAGCTTCTCGGGCAGGGCCGAAGGGAAGGGGGTGTCCCGGGGCCCCGCAGCCGTGGAGGGCGGGAGAGCGCCCAGGGCCGGCCGCACGCCGGGAAGGGGGGCCTTGGGGTTGGCCCCTCTCCTGGGGGTCACAGGCATCCTGTCTCCCTGGGGTCCCCAGGCCTGTGCAGGCGGCACCCGAAAGCCTGGCTTTGTCTGGTCGGGAGTCGTGTGGGTCCACAACTGTCCCGTTTCCGCTCTGGGTGGGCCCGCTCGTCCCCGAGCTGCCTGGTGGCCGCGGGAGAGGGCAGACTGCCAGTAACGTCCTCACCCGGTGCCTGTGCCCGGATGTCACACGCCCTGGGCCCCACCTCCGTGCTCGCCCTCTGCTGCCCTCCGAGCCCTCGCCGGCTCTCATCTTAGCGCCCGGCCCTTCTGCCGGCCACCGTGCCGCCTTCTCGTCTCAGCCGCAGACTCCGGCTCCAGGCCAATTCCAGTCCCCGGCTCGGCCTGACCCCCAGCACAGCCTGGTTCTGTCCCCGCCCTGCCTGCGGCATCCGGCCCCCGGCTTGTCTCACCTGATTGACAGCCGTGCTTCTGTGGCCTAAATGCCCGGTCACCCCTCGGACGTCAGCACCTCCGCCCGGCCTCACTCTCAGGGGGGACCTGTGTCGCCGAGAAAGCGAGAGTCCCAAGAGACCTCCATCCTCTCCCCGCCGACAGCCCAAAACCGGTGCATGAGGCCTGCGTGCCGTGTTCGTGCTGCAGGCGTGTGCGCACGCGGGGAGGCGTGTGCCGCGTCGGGAAACGGACTCCCAGCCTGTCTAACGCTAACGGCGTGTCCGTCTGCCGCTCGTAACCCTGTGAAAACTGACGACGACTAAACACTAGGGCTGACGGCCAGGCCCTGTCTCCTGGCCGGCCCGGCTGTGCGTGTGCGTCCTCGGCGTGCCCGTGTGACGTGCCTCTCCTCCCCCAGGACATGGGCAAGTTCTGCCTCACGTACGAGGCGTCCATGACCCGGCTCTTCCGAGAGGGGCGGACGGAGACCGTGCGGTCCTGCACCGTGGAGTCCTGCGCCTTCGTGCTCGCCATGACGGACCCCGCCCAGACGGTGAGAGACGCGGCTTCCTACACTTCCGGGAGGAGCCCCGGGTCTCCGATGGAGTCCTGGGCGCACCTGCTCATCCGGCGACTCCATGTTCGCCGCCTGCTTCCCTCGCCCTCTCCCGGGAGCAGGGAGTTAGAGCGTACCGGCCCGGACACACAGGGCCTGGAGCCCGTCCTCTGCCTTTTGTAACTCCTGGGCCCCCCTCTACCCCCCCTACCCCCCCACACACACACCCCCCCCCCCGCACGGCTCCCCGAGGCCTTTCTCTGGAAGAGCGCTCAGCAGGGGTGCGGGGAATGCGTGCTCAGGACGGCAGTCGGGGTGGGGTGGGGAGAGGGTGAGCCCCGGGGCCCTGGAGCTCCCGGCCGGAGCAGGCGGGCCCAGCGCCCTGTCACCGCCTTCGCACATCCCCGCGGCGGTGGCCCGGGAAGTGCTGCCCGTTCGTTTTTGTAGCTGAAGGAGCCGAGGTGCAGGTGGGCTCAGCCCAGGCCTGCTGCCCCGGAGCACAGAGACCCCCGGGGCTCGCTCGCTCGCTCGCTCTGCTCTGCGGGACGGGCGCCTGGTTCCGGGAGGGCTTCCGTCCGAGGAGGGAGCGGCTGTGTGGAGGCGGGGCTCCCGATGGCCAGGTCTGCGGGGGGAGGGGGGTCCCCCTGGACGGGCCTCCTCGTCCTGGGGCTGGCCTAGCGGAGCCCAGAGGAGCCGGGGCCGCCTCCCGGGGCAGCCCTGACCGTCCAAAAGGGCTGTCTTGGCGGAGGTGTGAGCCAGCCCCTGTGGGGTTAGTGACGGCGTCCTTGTCGCTCAGATGGAGCAGAGGCTGCGGTTGTTCAAGATCGCGTCGGAGAAGCACCAGCACATGTACCGCCTGGCCATGACGGGCGCCGGGATCGACCGCCACCTCTTCTGCCTGTACGTCGTGTCCAAGTACCTGGCCGTGGAGTCCCCGTTCCTGAAGGAAGTGAGTCACTCCTCCGGGGCGGCCCCGAGCGGAGGGGCCGGGACGCAGCGTCGGGATGAGGGGCAGCGGTCGCCAGCCGGTGGTCCGCCAGGTCCGGAAGGTTGGCGCCCGCTCCATGGGCCGGGCCGGCCAGAGCCGGCGGAGCCCGGGCTTCCCCGTTGCAGGGGGGCGGGAGCGGGGAGGGAGGAGTTGGGGCTGTGTCTGCGGCTGCACTGATTCAGCCCTGGGCCGCTCTGCTCTGTAAGACACCCACGCCCTCCTGACCGACGGGTGTGGCCAGCCACAGAGCGTGGGTGCTGGCCAGGTGCACGGAGACCGCTCAGAAGAGCCGGACCCTCAGGGGGTCTCACCGTGTTGTTAGTAGAGTTTATTCCGTTTTAAGTCGATGACATTTCGTTTCTCGGAATGGCTGTGTCTCACAAGCAGCCTGAGAGGTTTCGGAGAGTCCTCCCTGGGCTCACCTGGTGCCAGCCTGCCCAGGGCCCCGTTCCGAACCTCCACGTGTCTGCCACCTTTTGTGCCAGGGACGCTTTCGCGGGGGTCGGCCCCTCCAGCCCAGGGGTCCTCACCTGCTCCGCCCCTGCCTGCAGGTGTACCGCCCGAAACAGCCCCAAACTGAGCTCCTGGGGCCCTGGGGACCGCAGGCGGGGCTGGGAGAGGGTCATCGGGACACGTCCTTGCTCCCTCCCAGGTCCTGTCCGAGCCGTGGCGGCTGTCCACCAGCCAGACGCCGCAGCAGCAGGTGGAGCTGTTTGACCTGGAGAGGAACCCGGAGTACGTGAGCAGCGGCGGGGGCTTCGGGCCGGTAAGTGGACGGGCCTCGGTGGGCGCACGGCGGCAGGCCCCGGGCCAGCACTGCCCGTCCCACCTGCCTGTCTGGGCGCCACAGGACTTGTTATTTGTCACCATTAAAAGCCTGAGCTTAAGTTTCAACTTCCTTTGTCCTGCAGGTTGCTGACGATGGGTACGGCGTGTCCTACATTATAGTGGGAGAGAACCTCATCAATTTCCACATATCCTCCAAGTTCTCCTGCCCCGAGACGGTAAAGACCAAAGGGCCCCCCCCCCCCCAAAAAAAAAGATGGGATGTGTTTCGTGTTCGTTGTTGTTTTATTTTATGTGTATATATATATATATATATATATATATATATATATATACACACATATATAATTTTTTTATTATTGATTTCAGAGAGGAAGGGAGAGGGAGATAGAAACATCAATGATGAGAGAGAATCATTGATTGGCTGTCTCCTGCACGCTCCCTACTGGGGATCAAGCCCGCAACCCAAGCATGTGCCCTTGGCCGGAATTGAACCTGGGGCCCTTCAGGCCAACACTCTATCCACTGAGCCAAACCAGCTAGGGCTGCTTCTTTAAATATTTTTAATTGATTTCTGGGAGGAAGGGAGAAAGAGAAAGAGATAGAAACATCATTGATGAGAATCATTGATCGGTGGCCTCCTGCACAGCCCTTACTGGGGATCGAGCCTACAACCTGGGCATGGGCCCCAAACGGGAATCAACTGTGACTTCCTGGTTCAAAGTTTGACTCTCAACCACTGAGCCACACCAGCTGGGCTCAAATTATATCCTTAATTTGACAGAAATTCTCAGTTATGTACTTTGACTTGGGGAGAGGTCGAGAAAGGGGGAATGGCCACATGGTAACGTGCATTTTTTTTGTTTTTGTTTTTGTTTTCACACGAAAGGATTCTCATCGCTTCGGGAAGCACCTGAGACAAGCCATGACCGACATTATCGCCCTCTTTGGGTTCGGCTCCAACTCCAGGAAGTAATCCCCGGACGGCTGCGGGAAGGAGAGGGGGCTCCTCCGACAGAAACCAAATGAAACGTAGCTGTCGCCCCTGATCCTAGTTCAGGATGGAAAATTGCTCTAAAAAACTCGGAACTGCTCTTGCCGCCGAGGGCCTGGTGTGTTCTTGTTTGTCCGGAACAGCGGGCTCCACCCTCCTCCTCCCTCCAGGCCGGTCCCCCGTGGGGGCCCTGGAGGAAGCGCCCGAGCACCTTGGCGTCGGCCCGCGTGTGCCAGGGCTGAAGTCATCGCCCGTGGGGACTTCTCGTGCAGAGCGGGACGCTCACGCTTCCTCGGTGGCCAGCGGGACCTGGTACTTGGGGTGTATAATTTTTCAGAGTGAAACTAAAATGTGTTCGTCCAGAGAGAGAGTGCCGGGGGTGGAGGTGTTAGCAGCCAACGGAACGCGCACACGGACGCACTGTGCTCCAAACCCCCTGTGGTCCCTGCGGGAACCGCCCTCCTCCAGTTGGGTTGCGTGCGCTTGCCTGTCCACGTTTCAAGCATGTAGTTCGCGCATCTTTCGCTTCCCTAACCCTTGTGAGTATCCAGATCCCAGTGCCTTAAATCACGAAGGCCCTCCGTGTAAGGGAGACCGGACCGGGGATGTATTCTGTAGTCTTTACGTGGGGCTGTGGGTGTCTTACTCCTCCGTCTACTGAGTGGTAACCCTAAATAGGCCTTTTCCTGTGGCTCCCGCACCCCTAAAAGACCGGGCCCGGTCCCTCGTTGTGCAAGAGGCGACGGATCGATGATTCTCTCATCGTGGATGTTTTCTCTCGCCCCCTTCCTCTCTCTGAAATCAGCAAAAATGTATTTAAAAAAAAAAAAAAAAAAACGTTGCGAGTGGTGGGTGCTGGGTTTCATACACAGCCCACCCTTCAGATGGGAGTGCCTTAGCAGAAGAGGGCGAGCGACCAAAAACACGGGTGCACTGGCTCGCCCTCGGTATTTAGTGTAAAAAGGAAGGATCCCGGGATTTCAATGCCACTGTCTCTGTGTCCTTATGAGCGCGGCTCTCCGTTTAAAGAACTGCGTGCGTGTGTTCTGACCACTTTTCCCCGCTGGGCTTGCTCTGAGGGGGCTCCGTGCTCGGTGACCCCCGAGGGGCTGAACTACAGGAAGATGGGGAGGTGCCGGCCACAGAACACGCGTATGGTTCACTGTGTCTACGTTGTCATGTACAAATCCCGTCTGACTGGGCCAGAGAGGTGTTGTTGTTGTTTTTTTTTCCCCTTAAAGTAAGAAGAAATGAAAACAGAAAGAAAAACACACAACCATAATGAGAAAACCCCAGTTCACCTGTGGTACACAGCCCAGGAGGCGTGGGGGGCGTGGCCTGCTCTGCCCCAGGCGGCCTGGGTCCCAGGCTGAGCCCCAGAGCCACCTGCGTCACACGTTATCGACCACTGACCAGTGTGTGTTACCAAGTGTTCAGATGTACACGTGTTAGTACTCAAATATATTTGGGCTTCTCTCTCAGGTTTTAAATATTTTTTGCTAATCAGTGCAGTTGTCAATGCAATTTTTATATTCCTTGAAAGGTGGAAGACTGGGTTTTTACTGTACATGGTAAAAGGAAAAGGTAAGAGTATTATGTATTTAATTTAATTCGGAACGAACTGCGGTCTTAACCGGTTTGAATTTGTTAGCTTGGACTGTCCGTTGCATGTAAATACAATATGCTCTTTTGGTTGTAAATCTTAGAAATGCAGGATGAACGTTATCATTAATAAAACCATTAATCCAGACTACGACAGCCTTTGCTTCTGAGTCCTTTGTTCTGTTAACAAGGAGGTTGTAAGTCAGATGCCAAGCTGGGCCACTTGGGACCAAGATAAGAAACCGAGGAAAAGGCCTGGCGTCAGGCCGAGTGAATGGCAGTGGCTTCGTGCTCTGGTCAGTAGGGCTGTGGATTTTCACTCCACATCCATCCATCCATCCATCCATCCATCCCTTGTCCTGTGCCTAGAACAGTGCCTGACATACAGTAGCTGCTCAGTAACTATCGATCCAAATGAACGCGTGGGTTCTGTGTTCTTAGTTCTTACGGAGCACCCACGGTGCTAAGCACTGATTTACACACTGGGGACACAGTGGGGACCCACGAGGTTCTGACTGTGGATGGAGCTCAGATTACCAAGGGGGAGCAGTTAACCAAGAGAGCCAGTGAAAGGGGTTGTAAGTGGCCAAGGCAGGTAAGGGGACCGTGGTGGGCGGGTCTAGCAGGAGGAGGGGAGAGTACAGGCCCAGGAAGGGGGCTCAGTTGGAAACGGGCTTGAGGGGAGACACCCGGCAGGGCTGGGAGAGCAGCGAGGGGCCAGCTTGGTGTCCGGGTGGCTGTGTGGAGCATGCTCCGTAAGATGTCTGGTGTGTGGATGGATGGGTGGGCGGTGTGCTTGTGCAGGCTATTCAGGCCACTCGCTTTTTCACTTGGGCTCTTGGATTTACATTAGCTGCCTTCAGGCCCCTGCAGGTGTACTCTCTGCTCCCCTCCTCCTCCCCTGGAACTCAGCTGAGTTCAATATGGTTATTACAACCATGAAGTTATTAGCGTAAAGCCGTCGCCACACAGACATGCAACCCCCCCAGAAAGGACTTCATTCACAGTGACCTGCCTTTGCCCGGCAGCGTGATTAGGGACACCATGGTGCTCCAGGGACTGTCAGCTTTGTCTGTGATATTTAAATATTAAATGTAATTTTTATAAAGCCATCCTAGTTTCAATCTGAAGAAGCCAGTAGAACCTTCTATGGAGTCCTGTCCTGTGGATCACAGGAAGTGAATGTCCAAAAAGTGGGCCTGAGTTTCAAGTCAAGCGCGTTTGTGATAAACTAGTTGCTGGGAATATGGCAGGAAAATTCCAACAGGGGTATCTTAATTACATTGTCTTGAACTAAACTGTAATGCCCCAGAAAAAAAAAAAGAAAAATCAGATGAGCCCTAGGACATTTAAGGCTGCACCTTGAATTTGGGGTTTCTCAACTGCATGAAATTTTCTTGGGATTTCTTGAATGGTAAGGTTTATGGCTAAATACAGTGCTGCTGTCTTGGTTACTGTTGGAAAAGTTTAAATTTTTAAAAATGATTTTTTAAACTGATTTTTTACAGAGAGGAAGGGAGATGGATAGAGTTAGAAATATCGATGAGAGAGAAACATTGATCAGCTGCCTCCTGCACACTCCCCACTGGAGATGTACCCACAACCAAGGCACATGCCCTTGACCGGAATCGAACCTGGGACCCTTGAGTCCACAGGCCGATGTTCTATCCACTGAGCCAAACCGGGTAGGGCAAAAGTTTAAACTTTTAAAAATGAGATTACGAAATTGCTGTGTTTACATTTTAATTTTACCCAAACAATACTTGCACGTAAAACCGTCCCTGAGAGTTTTGGTGAATCTTCACCCCTGACACCCCCCTTGCACCCCCAGAATCCCTTTCAGCTCTGCCCTTTGGGTTGTAAATAACTCACTTCTTGCAGCATTCACTGCTATGGAGGGTGCATTTAGCTCACTCGCCACCCAGAGGGTGCGTCACGCTAGTGTGAGCCGGGTCTGGGTTTGCGGGACTCCACCTCCTCCCCGACATCAGTCATCAACGTTGGGTGTTTACTTTTGACTAGGGGTCCTCAGTTTTCAGTCACACACCCCAAGCCGCAGCACCAAGGCTGTGAAGTGTGTGGTCCTCCGTCCGCCCCCAGCGATGGCAGGAGGTTGGGGGAAGCTCAGAGGGCGGAGCTCTACGGAGCAGAAAAAGTATATTTTAAAGACTAAAGTCATAAGTCAAGCGAGGGAGTCCCGCCAGCGCTGCATCAGACGGGTCTGGGGGCCTCAGTTTCCCCACCTGAGTCTGGAGCTGCTGAGCTCCAGAGTGTCCTTCCCTGCCCACCTCCACGTAATGGCTGACCGCTGGTCCCCGCTGGCCCTCCGCGCACCATGCCCACCGCTACAGGCCACGCCCCTCCCCTGAGACCCAATCCACTTGCGCGCCCTGCCCTGCAGACCCCGCCCACTGCAAACAGGCCACACCCCTAGTCTGCGATCCAATCCACGCCCACCGGCGGGCCGGGCCTCCAATCCCCGCCCACTGCCTCGCGCCACGCCCCCTTTCAGGCCCCGCCCAGTCCAACCCCAATTCCGCCCCCTTCCACAACCGTTAACGGCCACATTTGCGGTCCGGCCACCCCAAAGACAGGTGCGCCCCTCCGAGGAGGCCTGTCTCCGTGTCTGCGGACCTGAGATCCCCGGCCGCCGTCGGGTCTCCCAGGGCCCTGGCCCGGCCTCGGGGGGTTAGCGGGGAGGGTGGGCCAACTCCTCGGGGCGGCTGGACCCCCGGGTCGGGACGGTGGGACCCCTCTCCCCACATCCGCCGGAGGGACCGGGGTGGCCGCGGTGCGGAAGCGCCCTCTTACTCGGCCGCGTCTTCGCAGGTGCACGGCTGTGCCGATCCCGCCGGGAACATGGACGAGGTGCCCCTGCTGGGCGGGATGTCCAGCCCCGAAGATGAGATGGGGCCGGACCTGTTCGGCGCAGACGGTCGGTTTGTTTCGGAAAACGCGGGCCTGAAAGCGCCGGCGGCGGTGAAGGCGGAGGAGGAGGAGTTCCACGTGTTCAAGGACCCCTACCTGAGCCCCGCGGGCCCCAAGGAGCCCCTGCTGCACGCCTTCAACCCGCCGCTGAGCGCCGACTTCGGCAGCAAGGTCAAGGTGGAGCTGCTGGTGGATGACCGCGAGGAGGAGATCCTGGGCCAGTTCCCCGGTCTCGCCGAGCTCGACCCCCTGGAGGACGCGGTGCTCCCCGCGGCCCCGCCGCCCCCGCCCATTTACAACGTCCACCTCCTGTCCTCCCTGCTGACCCCGCACCGCAGCCCCGCCCTCGTGCCCCTGGGCGCCTGGGCCCTGGACGGAGCCGCCCACGCCGGCGTCCGGGTGATCCCAGTAAGATCCGGGGCTGAAATGGGCGCGGCACCCCCTCCCCCCTCCCGGAGCAGGGCGGGGAGACCGCTGACTGCCGCCGCCGCCGGCATGCCCCTGTGTCAGCCCCATCCCTGGTTGGGGTCCCCCCCGCCCAGGGTGCACCCCTTTGTAACCCAAGACACACCAGCCAGCCAAGCCACTCTGCCTGCAGGTGAATTACGTCCTGGGGTCCCTGGATTCAAACCTGGCCTAGCCCTGCAGGGGGCGCCCGAGAACAGAGGAAAAGGATGGGAAGTGGGTAACCATCCCGGTTCGGTCACTGGCTTTAGGAAAGGAGCCCTGGTTGTCAGAGTAACTGGTGACAACAAACGCACCGTGGATGAATTTCCATGTGCTTGCCTTTTCCTTCCTTCCCCCTTTCTATTTAGAATTACATTTTGAATGCTCTGCTCTTCGAGCCTATGTCATAGAGAGCACAGCAATTTCCTGCCGATTCTCAGCTAACTACCCTCCTTTGCTGAAGAAAATCATGGATAATCTTCTGCTCTGCCCTCAACAAACAAATTCATTTAAAAAATATTTTTTTTATTGATTTGACACAGAGAGGAATGGAGAGAGAATCATGGCTCGGCTGCCTCCTGCACACCCCCTACTGGGGGTCGAGTCTGCAACCCAGGCAAGTGCCCTTGAACGGCATCAAACCCTGGCCCCTTCAGTCCACAGACCAACACTGTCCACTGAGCCAAACCGGCCAGGGTAGTGGTCGGCAAACTCATTAGTCAACAGAGCCAAATATCAACAGTACAACGATTGAAATTTCTTTGGAGAGCCAAATTTTTAAAACTTTTAACACTACTTCTTCAAAATAGACCCAGGACGAGCCACATTCAAGAGGCCAAAAAGCTACATGTGGCTCTCGAGCCGCAATTTGCCGACCACAGCCCTAAGCCATAGCAGCACCTTGGATTTCTGCTCTCTGGTGTTCTGGGTTATGTTAGCACCATCGCTGACTGAGAGGGACCGCAGAGCAGGCAGCCCATAGGCCTTCCTCGCACTGAGGTCTCCCCCAGAACCTCTCAGACGGTGTGAATGTCCGTTTGCCAAACTTGCCCTGGCAGCTTCTGCCTGTGGGCCCTGGCACGGCTCCCATACAAACGCCATCTTTTTTGAAGGACTACCTGTCCTGTCTCCTAGGCAGCTGGGCAGGCGGAGCTTAAGGGTGGGGGGCGGAGGGTGCACAGTTAGGTTGACTGTGTTTTCAGCCTCCTTTACATTCTTTTTTTTTTTTTTAAGGATATTTTCCTATTGATTTTTATTTTTCTTAGAGAAAATTGATTTTTAGAGAGAGAGATTTTTTAGAGAGAAAGGGAGGAGGAGACGGGGTGGGGGGAAAACATCGATGAGAGAGACATCAATTGGTTGCCTCCTGTATGTGCCCTGACCAGGGCCGGGGATTGAACTTGCAACCAAAGCACATGTCCTTGACAACCCAAAACTCTTGGGACTGCAGATCAATGCTCTAACCACAGAGAAAAACCGAGGGCAGCTTCCTTACATTCTTATCATTTACCAAATATCTTAATTTTAAAGCCCTCAATTCTGATAGTAATTTTATTAACTGAGACTTTTTAGTGTTTTTCTTATTCTACTGATTTTTAGTAATATCATGGTATTTCTCCCTTTTCTTGGCAATTTGCTGGTGTGTCACTGAGGTGTCAGTTGTGTAGAGCATAGCTTAGACATGAAAGTGACAGTCATTCCTACCCTCACTGTTTCATATTCACACTGTCCTACTGTTCAGTCAGGAAAGCTCTACTACTATTGCTAACAGCTAATTATAAGTTACATCTATATATATAAAAGCCTAAGCTACCAGCTGTTCAACTGTCTGGTTGCTAGCTATGACACATAATGGCCACCAGGGGCAGATGCTCCAGCCGGTAACTATGAAGTGCACTGACCACCAGGGGGCAGATGCTTAATACAGGAGTTGCCAAGCTGCGGTGACTTGGCAACTGCGATTCTTGGGTGATGCACCCAGAACCAGAGAGAAGGGAGCCCAATTCCAGGGTGCATCATCCAAGAACTGTCCTCTCGCTATCCGGGACCCCTCAGGGATGTCAGAGAGCTGGTTTTGGCCCCATTCCCCACAGGCCAAATCTGTGCATCGGGCCTGGCCTCTAGTTATAAACATTACCAAACAGCAGCAGGGACTTCCTGCTTCGAGAGAAAACAGCAAATAATGGACCAGAACCTTCCACAGAGCCGACGAGCCTGCTCTCAGGGTGGTACCGAAGGGTGGGCACTTCAGGAGGGTCCCGTTGGCTGCAGCTCCAGTGGAGTGGGGGATGGCGAGCAGCTCGAGGGGTGCCAACTGGCCTGGGCGTCTGCCGGTCACACCGGGCCACATGGAGATCACACCTGTGCGCCCCATGGGCAGGTGGCTCAGGCCCTCAGCCCACGGAGGCTGGTGGGACGAATGTGCCCGCAGGGAGAGGGAGGGTGAGGAAGGAGCAGAAGGGCCTAGGGTGACTCCCCCAGAGAATGTTCTGTATGTGTAGCTGCTGCACCCAATGACCCCACGTGGCTTCTGAGCAGCGACTGGTTTTCCAGGTGGAAGTGAAGGAAGGAGGTGGCGTTGTGCCGAGAGAGGGCGTGGAGGAGGCCGCTCTGCAGAACCCTCCGTCCCAGGAGCCCTGCAAGTTCCCGTCCTCGCAAGACGCTGAGGACACCCTGGGCGGCTCTCAGAAGGACGCGAACACCATGGTAACCCTGCCAAGAAAGCGAGAAAGTGAGAAAGTGGCTGTAGAGTGAATGCTATGACAGCCAGCTGCACTGGTGGTTTGTCACTGTTTGCCTGTTGAATCAACGTTTTGTGGTCTCATCCAGAGGGACATTATTGCCTGCCTAATCCTCCCAGCTCTAAGATTCTCACTCCAACCAGATGTAGCAAGTCAAACGAGGAGGAGGACAGGGCTATGTTTCTTAAGGATAGTGACCACACATCGCATCAGTTAGCGCAGGCCCAGGGGCCTGATGGAGGGCCGAGGCTGCTGCCCGCCCTGCCCACCTCCAAGTCCCTAATACCACCGACACTCCCCTCGGACCGGGCAGGCAGTGACACCTGTGGCCTACGTGCTACTCTCCTGCTCTATCAGGTCTGTAGGGTGGGCATTACTTTTGTCTTCATTTTATGGCTAAGAAAACATGTTACACAGTGGCCCTGTACGGGGCCTGTAGGATTCGGGCCTGCCCCACGCATTTGTGAGCAAAGAGCCCAACCGCCCAGATTGCCCCCCACCTCCCAACTCTTCACTCTGAGAGAGGAGGCCTTAGCCCTAAGCCCACGCACTGCCCGGGAGTGAACTCGGCTAACTCTGGCATGCATGGCGCTCACCGCTCTGTCAGGCGGGGGAAGGAGGCGGGGCCTCTCCAGGACACACGGACGGTGAGCAGGGCGGGGCCTCCTCTTACACCGGACCACGGAGTCAGGCCCCGGTGCTCAATGGACAGAGGCCTGGGGTCCACCTGCGCCGGTGTGTGTGTGTGTGTGTGTGTGTGTGTGTGTGTGTGTGTGTGAGAGAGAGAGAGAGAGAGAGAGAGAACGAGAACGTGAGCGGCTATAAATTAATCCTCCAGATACAAACTCCCACTGAACACGAATGCTGGCCTCTCGTCCAGGATCAGGGTGCCCGGAGCTCTGCCGGGAGCACGGGCTCCCCTGTGACCGGGGACACTGACCCTTTAGGCTTGAGCTGTCCTGTCTCAGAGCCCAAAGGCCACTAGGACGGAAGCACAGCGACCGGGACCTGTGGTTTCCCATCCGAGGTGGAAGCTGTGTGGGTAAAACCGCTGCTGCCTTCCTGGGACGGGGCCACCAGCGAGGGCTCCAGCCGGGCTCTGCCTGCCCGACGTGCCTCAGTGGCGGGCACTTGCCTCTCGGAGGGTTTACTGATGGTCAGAGCCCAGCCAGGTGCCTGAGGGCTGGCCAGGCCCAGGAACACTGCTATGGCTTCTTAGAATTTCCCAGTTCTTGGGTTAGCCTTGCTCAGCTGTGCTTGTAGGAAATAACATGAATAGATGTCTTAAAAAATCACACATGTTAACCAATAGCACATGAGGGTGGCGGGAAAGAACAATTATTATGACATTAAAGAAGATTCTGAGTGGGGCCGGATGGGCAGCTTGAGGCACTCTGCCCTCAGGGGCTGGAGATGGAGGCAGACACCTCGGAGAGCCTGCTGCGGGCAAGACACCGGGAACAGACGGGCAGTTTGCCATTTTCCAGGAAAACATAAATTCTGGGTTAAAGCTATGTTCTTGGTGGAAGTTTCTGTGTGACTTTTTTCTTTTCTTTTCTTTTCTTTTTTTTTTTTTAGCAAAGGTGACAATTTATTAAAGAGCAAGTACAGACTCCCACGTGGGAGGGGAAAGAGCCCCCCTCCCCGGGCGGCTTTGACAGGGAGACCTTGTTTCTCATTCCAGGTGCTCTGCCAGTTGAAGGGGGGCACGCAGATGCTGTGCACAGACACCCCGAGCGCGCGAGAACTGAAAGCTCTCCACCTGGTTCCTCAGTATCAAGACCAAAACAATTCTCTGCAGCCAGGTACGAAGTACATTAATCCAAAAACTATGTCATGTCTATAAGTTGGTAAGTGAACATGTTTGGCTTTGTATATGGGGGGGGGGAGTGAAATAGGCAGTGAGGGTATTAAGGAGGCAATTTGGCAAACTTCATCTTCCATAGTAGTGAGCTGCGAATAGAAACACATTGTTTTAGACCAGTTTACGTGCCTTGCATTGACAAAGTTTGGGTGGCCGTCCCCTTCTCTGCGAGCTGTGACAGCCTACCATTCTAACAGGTGGCAATTCCTCCCAGCCGCGGGTGCTGGAGGGACCTGGCTGAGGCATCAGGTGTGGGATACACTGCATGTAACGGAAATGCCTTCACATAATCCCCAGGAGCTCTGAAGTAACAGCACAAATGCTGACTACCTGCCATTCATTTACTCAGAAACTCCTTCAAACTGGCATCATAGTAATAAGCGACATGCAAGTACTTGATTATCCTGTAATACCTTAGGCATGACCGAAGAGAGACTGAATGGCACAGCTTTAGGATTGTGCTCACAGAAGTCAGACAAGAATTCTTAAAAACTGGGCATTTCTATGTGGACTGTATATGTAATTGTGATTCTCCAAATCTTGATTTAGCCAGACTATTCCCTTACCGGATGATTCACTGCCCATAATGTAAATCAACATTAAACCCTGATGTCACTTCCATGGGCCTGCAGAGTCCAGAGAGATTGTGACCCTCTTCCCTCCGACAGTCCATCCAGGGACAAGCAAGGCCATCAGGGCTTTGCCTTGTCCCAGCGTCAGAGCAGGGCTGGCATGGTCCTCACAGCCGGGAGCTTTCGGGCTCTGTTCCCTGTCCATCAGCACTGCCACTGGTCCTCACACAGGCAGGGGGTTCTTTCCTAACCCCCCTCTGGCCCTCAGCAAGCCCTAGTGCCTTCAGATCCTGATTTCCTTACCTAGTCCCCTTTGTTATGCCGTAAACATTCTAAGTATCAGCATGAAACCGCTGCATCCTGGCCTAAGCCTTAAGGCAGCATCACTCTGCGGCTGCAGGTGGTGCCTCGGGAGCTGAAGGCACAGCTCCTTCCCCGGACCCACCAGGCCCTAGTGTCTCAGGAACGGTGGCCACTGTGCCTTCAGGCCGGGACACTCGCGTGGGCTCTGCTCCTCAGGTAGTTTGGGCTCAATAGCCTGATCAGTATTTACATCCCAACAACTCAGCAACCAGTTGAAAGAGAAAACACCTAAATGGAAAGCACTTCACCTGGTGACCAACAGATGTCGCTGTGCTTGCTTTGAAAATAAAATTTCTGGCGGCTTGCGGGCCAGTTTGCTGCCTACTCCAGGGGACCTCAGCCAGCAGTTTGGGAACCTGGGTATGCAACATGGTTTAGGACAGACTATCCTTGGGGCTCAAGCTAAGTAGCTCTATGGCAAAGAAAAAGAGTGTGATTAGTAAACACTTACATTGACTTGAAAGTTTTTGCAGGATAAAAAACAAAGAGGATGATGATAAATCCATGATACATTTTCACATTTGAACTTTCTTCCGTGTGCACGTGGAAAAAAAACAATATATGGTATCAATTCTAATTGCCTTCCTTACAGATGTCCCTAAGCCAGTGACTGCTTTAGTAGGAAGATTTTTGCCAGTGCCAGCAAAAGTGAATCTCATTACACAAGTGAGTCATGTTTTAACAAAACAACAATTAGGCATTATTATCTCTTGAAATTTTGATGGTCAGGTTGGAATTTCTCAGGAAATATAATTATCCTCCATTTAAAGGCCCACAGTGAAGCGTTTACCAAGTATGCAGCCCCGTCCCCATAGCGACAGGCCTGGGAGGGGGGTCCGTCCAAGACGCAGCTCTTTGTCCCCCTGTGAAACGGCTTGTCCTGTCCTGGCCCTCAGACCATCCTCCGCCCGTTTGCTGCACTTGCCCGTGGGGGCCTGTGTCAGCACTGCCACCATTTTGGAGGCGTTGGCTGGAGTAACTCTCAGGCACGTCCCTCCTGCAAACTGAGTCCCGTGCAAGTTGGAGGCTTTGCACAAAGGAGCTGGACCAGGGTGGCTGCTCGGTGCCCTCGAGCCCCAACAGGCAGCAAAAGGGGGACAACGGCCGAAACTCGTTAGTTCAGTGGATAGAGCGTCGACCTGCAGACTGAAAGGTCCCAGGTTCGATTCCAGTCAAGGGCATGTACCTTGGTTGCAGGCACATCCCCAGTTGGGGTGTGCAGGAGGCAGCTGGTCGATGATTATCTCTCATCAATGTTTCTAGCTCTCTATCCCTCTCTCTTCCTTTCTGTGAAAACTCAATGAAAATTTTTAAAAAATCAATAAAATACATATTTTTTAAAAATGGGGGGGACAAGGAGGAGGATGGGTAAATGGTGTTTTCCTAGACTGTCTGCTTAAGTAAAGCTTACTTTTAAATTTCAAGTTTTCAGGGGAAGGATAAGGATAGGATGTGTAGCTGTGATACAGACAATCTCAAAACCCGAATGTCCCCAATACTTTTCATTTCTTCAAGCTCTGATAGGGAGAAAAGTAGGTCAGCGATTTCGCTAGCTCTTCCTTTCCCTGGGAGCCATGCTGCTGAGGAACAAAGGAAAATAAGCTAGAAGCAGAGAGCCAAGGCCATGGGCAAAGCAGAGGTTACCACGCTGCTTTTGAATTGGTTAACGCTGACTATGAAATGCTCCTTTTGAATAGATGAATAAGTAATGGCTGCTAATGAGACATCAAGATCTCTCATGTTATACTAAGGGTATAATAATGATGGCCATTTTCGTTTACAGAAATTGGTAATTGAATTTATTTCACAAAATGAAAAAGATGTCCAGTGCAATGTTCTGGCCAGCGGCTGACCGCAGTGTGTGCTGCCTGCCAGCTGGTCGGTGGCCTGGCCCTGGTCCCAGACTGCCCCACCCCACCGCCCCACCCCCGGTACTCAGTCGGGTCTGCGGCCTCAGCGCCCTGTGGCCAGGCTCCCTTGGGGGCTACCACCTGGGCTGGAGTCTTCTGGGCTCATGGCCCGTTCCTGCTGACAGACCAGACTTGTTGGAAAGGGACTGTGAGGTAAAAATAGAAGGATTGTTTTTCTCTGTAGCTTGGGGTTGACTAGAAGGAACTTTTAAAACATCCACTAATTCAGCTGAGGCTGGTTTGGCTCAGTGGTAGAACGTCGGTCTGCGGACTGAAAGGTCCCAGGTTCGATTCCGGTCAAGGGCATGTACCTTGGTTTCGGGCACATCCCCGGTGGGGGGTGTGCAGGAGGCAGCTGGTTGATGTTTCTCTCTCATCAACGTTTCTAGCTCTCTGTCTCTCTCCCTTTCTCTCTGTTAAAAATAAATAAAATATATTTTTAAAAATCCACTAATTCAAACTATGCTGGCCTTGACTCTCTGCAGCTGGACCACGGAGCCCAGCCGGCCGCTGCCTCGGGGCCTGCTCTGCCCTCGGGACCAGCCCTCCCTGGAGCGCCCAGGCTAACGCTGGCTGGGTAAGCACCAAAGCCATCACTGTCACTCACTCAGGAATGTAAGGGCTCTCGTGGAACATTTGCCACCTTCTTCTAGTGGAAAACTAGCTTTCCTGCAGCTCCACGAGCAATAAGAGCTTTTGGACGGAGCGTGCGGGGGCTGGTGTCGCTGGGCGGCCCCACACGCCCTGGGCTGTTGGAGGCTTGTGTCTGACGGGGCTCACAGGAGCTGTTGTGTTGCTTTTCCTGTTTCGCTGTGGTTGGCGTGAGCAGTGGTGTGGCAGCCGCTCACCTGCACCTTCCTTCCCCTCGTGGGCCTCACGCTCTGGAGGCGAGGCGTCGCCAGGGCCGGGCTGCATTCCTGCTGGGACGCCATTGCCATTTCCAATGGTGGCTGTGATCGCACTCAGTAAACAGCCCGGCCTGTGAAACTCCGTGTTCACTTTCACGGACCAGCCTGGACGGGCAGCCCTTTCCGCGCGGGGAGACCTCTGTCCTGCCCCCGGGAGTGCGGGCACTCAGCCTCCGGCGGGCGTGGCCTGAAGGCGGCCAGCCGGGCAGGGGGCAGGGCTCCTGCGGTGCTGCCAGGGCACAGGTTCACTGGGCGGGGCGGGCGGGCAGTGGGAGAGGCCGAGGGAACCTCTGGAGGCTGCGTGGCCGTAAGGAGTGAGCACTGATGGTCGATGAACTTGAGTTAATCCCCTGGAGCCGTGGTCGGCAAACTGTGGCTCCCGAGCCACATGCGGCTCTTTAGCCCCTTGTGGATGGTGTGGCTCTTCCACAAAAGACCACGGCCTGGGCCAGTCAATGTTGAAGAAGTGATGTTAAAAGAAGTTTAAGTTTAAAAAATGTGGCTCTCAAAAGAAGTTTGGATCGCTGTGCTGCGGCTATTTGGCTCTCTGGGCTGTTTGCCGGCCGCTGCCCTGGAGGAGGACCAGGCTGCTCTCCGGCTTCCCTCGGTGCGCTCTGCGTGGTCTGGTCCTGTGGCCCCGGCTGCGGCAGGCGTGGCTGTCACCACGAGGGGGTCACGGGCCCAGGACGCTGCTTCCCCTCCTTGTCCTCGGGGCGCGCTGAGAGCTCTGGCCAGGACCCCAAGGGGACGGGCTCCCACAGCCACGCACAGCCCGCCCCTCCGGTGCCACGGGGCCGGGGCAGAGCCGAGTGAGGGCCCTCCCCCTCTCCCGCTCTGCCAGGTTCTCCCACTCAGCACAGGCTCCTTTTTTGGAGTAATTATAAAGTCATAACCAATGTTTCTGAAGTGCATGAGCTTTGTGTTTGTGTTTTTGCTGCAAATAATTACCTAACTTCGTGTCACTGTCTTCACCTGAGCTCCCTGTGCTGTGGCCCGGTGTCCGGTGAGGGGGCCCGGTGTCCGGTGAGGGGGGAGCTGCTGTCCGGTGAGGGGGGCCCGGTGCCCGGTAAGGGGCGGTTTGGTGAGGGGGGCCCGGTGTCTGGTGAGGGGTGGCCCGGTGTCCGGTGAGGGGGACCCGGTGTCCGGTGAGGGGGCTGCTGTCCGGTGAGGGGGGCCCGGTGTCCAGTGAGGGGGGCCCGGTGTCCAGTGAGGGGGACCCGGTGTCCGGTGAGGGGGGCCCGGTGTCCGGTGAGGGGGGCCTGGTGCCTGGTGAGGGGGGTGGTGTCCGGTGAGGGGGGCCCGGTGTCCGGTGAGGAGGGCCCGGTGCCCGGTGACGGGGGTGGTGTCCGGTGAGGGGGGCCCGGTGTCCGGTGAGGGGCAGCCCGGTGTCCGGTGAGGAGGGCCCGGTGCCCGGTGATGGGGGTGGTGTCCGGTGGGGGGGGCCCGGTGTCCCGTGAGAGGGGCCCGGTGCCCGGTGAGGGGCAGTCAGACTGCTATGCTCCGTCTGATGCCCGCCAACCGCTCCACCTCTCAGGTTCTTCTCAGACAAGGTCGCCGGGTCTGAGGCCCGGAAGGCGCTCTGTTCGGACGCTTTGTACCGAGCAGGGCCATGGACACAGTGGGCGCGGGGTCTGGCCGCCGGCAAACGGGTGGATTCCCTCCCAGACCTTCGGAGCTGGGTGGCTGCTGAAGGTGTGAATTCTGTTACTGTTGGTTACGTAATGACGGCTATAATAAAGAATATGAACTTTCCGCCTCTCTGGAAACTTCTTTTAAAATATGTTTGTATATATGGATTGAGAGAGGAGGGGGAGGAGAGGGAGGAGAAGCCGCAGTGATGAGAGGCGGTGGGGGGCCGGGGGGGGGGCAGGAAGGGGCTGGGAGCAGCGCAGGGATGCGGTCTCTCCGTTCGAGGAGGCGGTGGTTGGTGGCGAGTGAGGGGCGTAGGGCGAACCTGTCACACGCGTGTCCTCAGCACCATCTCCCCCCAGCACCCGCCGGGAGAGACAGACAGAGCCCAGAGCAGTGACCTCCCTGCCGCGGCGGAGGGGGACAGTGATGGGAAGACCGATGCTCCCACCCCGGCCTGCTGTGCTCCTGGGACGGAGGCAGCGGGGCCAGGGGCGGGGCGTCCGTGGACACTCCCAGGAGTGTTTGCCTGGGCCACGGCCCTGACCCGCTGTGCCTGCCCCCAGGTACTGCGACTGCTTTGCCGGCGGCGGGGACTTCTGCAGCAACTGCAGCTGCGAGGCCTGCTGCAGCGCCTTCCGCCACGGGCTCGAGCGCTTCAAGGCCCTTCAGGCGAGGAGCCCTCCCCTCCCGGACGCGTCTCCGAAGCACTGACTGGGTCGGAGGCGGAAGAGCCCCCTCCAGAGATTCTGCCCTTCAGTTTGGAGAAAACCAGAGTTAGCGCCCCCTGGGGACCCCACCCACACTCGCCCAGCCTCCCAAAGCCCCGCCCCACCCCCGTCAGCGCACCCCCATGGGCTCTCACTCCTGCGCTTTTGGTAGGAAAATTGCAGATTGCGTGCACACGCAAACGTAAGCTATTGAAGGTGCAAACAGAATTTGTTCTTCCGGATGACTGTAGGACCATTCTCTGTTTCCAGGCCAAAATCATGTGCTCCTCTCTCTGCAAATGTATTGGCTGCAAAAACTATGAAGAAAGCCCCCAACAAAAACCGCTAATGGCCGTGCCAAGCCACGCGGAAGCTGGCAGTTTGGAGGGCAGCCATCACGTGTCAGCGCTCCCCAAACTCAGGAAGGAGAGGTAGGTGCTCAGACTGACCTCCTGACGGGGCTGATCTGAGGGCGTTCATTCACTCACCGGAAGCCCCGTGCCATCTGCAGGGGGGGCGCCAGGATTGGACCAGGGTGCCGTCCCCCTTCCAGACTCACCCTTATCCCCACTGTCCTCAGAGCCCCGCTGCTTTGTCCTGTTTGTCCTCCGAGCAGGAGCCACAGCTCGGGCTGTGGGGCATGGCGTCCAGACAGCAAACCTCTGAGCCGCGGGTCCGGTCCCCGTCCCCGTGTGGCAGAGTGGAGAGATGCTCAGGGCACAGGCTGGGCCTCCCCAGCGCGATGAGCCCATGTAGTTGGGTTTTTCCCATTAATTATTCTGCGGCCAGATGGTGGTCCTGGAAGGTCTCAAAGGCAGAATAACAATTCACTATATGCTGGACTAGATTTCTCCATTTTTTAAAAAGTGTCGTTGCATTCAAATGTTATTAATTAATGTTGTTGAAAAGCCACATTCGTGCTTCTTTGCTTGGAGACATCAGAAGTGGCATCCCTGTGGCCTGCGGGGTCTGTGTCAGTGGACGTGACCAGGCGTGGCCCAGGCCTCTGTGAAGCTCGGGGACAGTGTGACCGCCTCCTCGGGACCGTGTGTCCCATGGAGGTCTCAAGCCGTGGACTCTGGTCTCAGTGGAATGGTTCCGCCCTGGGCAGCCCCGTTCTCTCACCTTCAACTCAGTTCTTGCGTGTTCCCTTTGTGGAGGGGTTTTTGTTTTTTTAACTATGTTACTTTATTTTACTAATATATTTTATTGATTTCAGAGAGAGGAAGAGAGAGAGAGAGCCCCAGGCTGCTTTTCCGCAGGGTCTGGTCTTGTCTGAGGTTCCTGCTGCTCCTCCCGCCCAGCCACGGGCTTGCCTGGAGCCCAGGCCTCTGGGTTTGTGAGGATCTAACTTTGAGAAACTTAGAATCAACCATGAGAGGGACGTCGAGCAGCTGACAGATTTACCTTCCTCTATATTCTCCTTCTAGAAGTAGTATGCGGTGTCATCCTAGTGAATAGCTTTCAGTATCAGGAAGACAGCATTGGTTTCGCCAGGGGCAGTCTGAAATGCAGGACACGCCGTCCCCTGGAGCAGCGGCCGCTGACCGTGGCCTTGACGGTGTCTCCGCAGGCGGTCCTCGTGCATCTCCTGGGAGGTGGTGGAAGCCGCGTGCGCCTGTCTGCTGGCTCAGGGCGAGGAGGCGGAGAAGGGGCACTGCTCGGAGTGCCTGGCCCAGCAGATGGTCCTGGAGGAGTTCGGGAGGTGCCTGTCCCAGATCCTCCTCATCGAGTTCAAATCCAAAGGGTTGAAGATGGAGTAGAGGAGAAGGTGGGGAGCGAGGGGGCCGCGGGTCTGCGCTCAGGGTTCCGGGGATCCATGGAGGGGAAGGATGCTCTAAGGAACACCAGGCCGGTGTGTCCACAGCTGCACCACTGAGGGGACCCGGGGGCTTAGTCTGGGAGGGTTTGGCACCCACAGCCCCTGTGTGAGGAGGGGCGTGACTGACCCCATGGCGGGGCCAGGGCTTCTCTGCACCCACACCCATGCTGGTGGGGACACCGCGCAGAGAGGAGAGTCACCCCTATTGCCCTCATCCCCTCGAGGAGTCTTCTCTGGAGGCCTCTCTGTGTAAAAGCCATAAATATTTTCCCCAAATTTTTAGAAATGACGTCTCCAGGTGGGCTGTTGGGATACAACCCGGATCTCGAGAGAACCTTGAACACCCACGGGATCTCAGTGCGGGCTGTCCCAGCGCCGAGGGGTCATCAGCCCGGCTAACGCCAGACACGGATGGAGAGCGGGTGCACCAGCCACGCTTCCATCCGTAGCATCTTGAGTTGTGGGACTGGAATTTACTAGTTTCTTAGGAGTTTCTATTTGAATTGTGGAAAAGCTCTGTTATCCAATTAACTTCTCCATGATCACTGTTAAGCTATTGTTGTTGGTAGAGTATGGTTAAACGACTAGTTTGCAGAAAGTAGCAGGTAATATTAGTTGTAAGTTGACGCCTTTGGTTCTATTGAAAAGCAAAGAATAAAAATTTCAGCTGTCTCCTGTGGCTGCAATTAGCTTAGTGACTGAAAACATGCTTCGCCATGTTTCTGTGTGTGGATGGTACTGGCCCCGCAGACAACTTTTGGAAGCTCGTTGCAGGCTCAGCAGATGGGGCGGTGTGGCTGGGGGCCGCTGGCGCATTGGGGAGCAGGAGCCGGAGCAGGCCAGCAGAGCGATATGTGGAACAGCCTGCTTCTGATACTTCATTTCTCCGTTTCAATCCCCTTGCTCCCACCCAGATTCAGATTCTGAGATGAAAGCCCAGAGTAGAAGCAGAGCTGTGAGACTGCGAGTTCTCAGGAGCGGAGCAGGGGCAGAGCGGGACACCGCTGCCGAGGGTCACCGGCCCGCACCCTCGGCAGAAGGGGGCCCGCGATGAGGCTCTGTGACTCCTCCCAGGCTGCCTTCTCAGCGGGGCAAATGGCAGTACCTGCCGGCCACATAGGTGGTTTTAAAATTTCTAGCCAACACATTCTAAAGAAGTGAAAAAGAACAGGTGAAATTCGATTTAATTTTCTTTAAAACATTTTTTATTGATTTCAAAGAGGAAGAGAGAGGAGAGAGAGAGAAACATCAATGATGAGAGAGAATCATTTATCATCTGCCTCCTCACACCCTGGGGATCGAGCTTGCAACCCAGGCATGTGCCCTGACCAGGAATTGAACTGTGACCTCCTGGTTCATAGGTCAATGCTCAACCTCGGAGCCACACCAGCCAGGCCAATTTACTGATGTTTTATTTAACCCATCATATCTAAAACACTATCATTCCAACATGCAACCAAAATAGAAGTGGCTGTGCTTTTCCATTCTTTGTGCACCAATCCTCAACATCCAGGGAATGTTCGCACTCGCCTCATCTTAGTTCACACAGGCCCAGGAAGTGCCGGGTGCCTGAGGGTCAGGTGTGGGGGGGGAGGGAACAGGTCCTCCAGCCCATTCTGACCGGCAGAGCCCAGAGGCGGCCAGGATCTAGCACCACAGGGAGCCCACCTGCACCCGGGTGGGACCCAGCGCTGCAGCCAGAGTGCTAGCTGCAGCCTAAAAGCCAGGGACAGGCCAGGGGCAGGTGCGACCCGTGTGGGTTGCTCCAGGGGGAGGGTTTGTCAAATCAGCACGGCTTTTAGGAAAGTCAGTGTGAGAAGTAGCAGCCAAGTGCAGGTGTGTGTAGTCTTGATGCAGCCAGAGACCTGCTCCCAAGGCCAAGAGGCCCCGTGTCGTCACGGGACCCAAGAGAAGGCTTCCCTGTCACATGTTCCTCTGGCCTTCAGATGTGGCTGCCTCCCTGCTCGGATGCCCGTCGCCGCTGGTCCTCGGAGCCACCTGGACGGGCACAGCTCCTCAGGACAATCACCCTTCCACCTGGACCACACGCACTTCCATTCCGTGCCCTGCTGGCCCCAGGACCGGTCTCACTGTCACAGTGTGTCTGACTCAGCTTAGTGTGCACTGACCTAACACACGTGACTACAATCCAGCTTCATCTTTTTTCATCTTTTTAAATCCTCACCACGGATATGTTTTTTAATTTATTTTTTAGAGACAGGAAGGGAGAGAGAGACATTGATCAATTGCCTCCTGTAGGCACCCTGACCAGGGACCAAACCCAAGCCTAGGTAGGTGCCCTGACTGGGAATTGAATTCGCCACCTTTGGTGTAGGGGACGACACCACCCACTGAGCCACCCGGCCAGGGCTCCACTTGTCGTAAAGCACTCTGGTGGTGGTGACAGACAGGCCAAGGAAGGAAGACACGGAAACACTTGCTGGTTTTTATTTTGCCACTAGAATGATTGCCAAGGGGAATCTTAAATTACAACAGCTTCACAGGGCGGAGGGGCTGGTTTCCTTGGGAGCAGAAAGCTCACCATTGGCTCAGAGCCTGGCTTCCTGGGGCGGGAGGGCCCGGCCCGGCTCCCTCCGGGCTGGCTGCTCCATGTCTTCCCAGGACGTGGCCGAGGGGAGCATGGGCACCAGGGCCCCGGCCTCTGCAAAGGGACGGACACTGAGTGCTGAGCCCCTGCGTCCGCACGAGGACATCACAGCCCACAGCACACAGGGCAGGGTCAGCTGGACTCTCAGCACAAAACGGTGACAACCACTGGCTCCCTGAGCCCCGGCCCCGCCCCCAGCACGGCTAGCTCAGAGTGCCGGAGGCTGCTGGCGAAGGCCGGCCCTCCCTGTGGAACGGATGGCCAGCATGAAGCACGGGCAGCAGAGCCGGGGTAGGAATGGGCAGGAGGAGCCTCACCACCTGCAGCCCCTGCAGGACGTCCAGGGCCGAGGGCCATGCATAACGCAGCAAGGAGAGCCCGGTCCTCAGGCTGACCACCTGGCCTCAGACGCCTGTGAGGGGCGGGGCCGGCAGGCACTTCGGCCGGACAGGGCGGCGGTGGCCACGTCAATGGGTGCACGGAGTGGACAGAATCCTGAGCCCCCCCCCTTCCTGGGAGCAGTAGGTCTGATGACCCTTTGCAGGGACCATGTGGGACCGGCAGCAAGCCCAGCCCCCGGGCTGTCCCTCCAGCCAGCAGGCGTGGGGTGGGTCCCCTGCAGAGGTCCGGGAAGCCTTTCCGAGTAAGGGCCCGGCCCTAGGAGGCAGGACCGTAAATCGGCCCCGTTCACTGACCTCTGAGATGCAGGAACGTCAGAAACTCCATTATCTTGCGCACATCATCACCGCCCACTGGCAGCAGCCGCTCAAAGTCGCCTAGAAACAAGTGATTGCCATTGACGACTGACACAGGTGCTCTGGGCAGCCCGAGGTCATGAACCCCAGCATCTCTGTAACCCATCTCGGGGGCCCCTCCCTCTCCTGGAGGCCCCTCCGTCCCCACATCTTACTCCCAGAGTCGCTGCTTCTGTTTGCAGCGAGGACAGATGTGCCGGGCCCGGCTCGGACCTCTGCCCTGTGCGCCCAGAGGTGGGCAGTGGGGAGCCTCGGGCCCCGGGACCCAGTCCCCTCACCTGCCCCCGCGCCGTCCTCCGGCCGCAGGTCCCGCTTGCCAGCAAGGCCGCCGTGCTTGTCACTGAATGACCTGTGGCTGTCGATGGCATCTGCAGAGCCGAGGGGACAGCCCGAGGGTCGTTACTGTACTCCACCCTCCCGTCCCCTCCCCGCCCGAGGACCCGGTGAGCCCTGCATCCCGCGTGGGGACCACAGGAGGGAGGGAGGGCCTGGTGCTGGGCTCCACGGGGCTCACTGGCCTGGCAGCGGGGAGCACGAGGCTCCCAGGGGCGCTGGCCGTGACCGGGGCCCATGTTTCGGAAAACGAGGGAGGTACTGAAATCTTCCTCTTTCTCAAAGACCACTCTGGCAGCGGAGTGGGAGATGGACTGGAGCCAGGGAGAGAGGGAGGTGGGAGAGACAGACAGACATGCTTGGGTGGGGTGGGCTGGGTGGCTGTGTGCTGCTTGAGAGCTCCCTTAGGGAACCGTTGGAAGAAGGATGAGGCGCTAAACCAAGAGCCTGGGATGAGGAGAAGGGGCTGGATTGGGGCGATTTAGGAGATAAAGGAGAAGAGGGGGGAGGGCGAGGGCGGCTCGCGGTTTCCGGCTGCTGGGCCTGGCGGATGAATGAAAATTAACTCGTTTTCCCGAGACAGAGCTCCTGGCACGAGATGAGAAGGGCGACGAGTGAGCTGGTCCGGTGGGCGGCTGGGTGTCTGCGAACGGGCTCTTCCCGCTGTGTCTACGTGGGCGGTGGAGGTCAAGGCCAGACCCTTAAGCGGTAAAGTCCTCCCTCAAAGAGCCGCTGCGTGCCGGCTCCCGGGGGTCCACTCGGCAGACTTACAACTTCTCAGTGGAAAAGGGTGTGTCCCAATGCAGGGCAGAAAGTCTTCTCGACAGCCCCTCCAGTTTTGGGGGCCGGGAGCACCCAGAGATGTGCTCTCTGAGGGAGAGAGCTCAGGGGTGGGAAGGGTGCAGGAGAGCGTGGGTCCTGCCTGGGCCCACCTAGTGTGTGTCCTCAGTGCTGGGCTCTCAGGGCCCCCGGTGATGGATAAACCGTCTGAGCAGGGGAAAGTGTGTACTGAACTCCAGGATTAAGGGCCAAGACAGCTCCAGGCAGTTTGCACGAGCTGGCGGGCAGGCGGAGCAGCCCTGAGGAATGTGGGCAAAAAGGGAGAAGGCAGGAGGTGGGGGTGGGGGGAGTGCCAAGGGCTGCGGGGTGGTTAGGGTTCAAGGCAGAGTCAGGCGCCTCAAGGCTGGGGGAGGGCAGGTGGGGTCAGGGCGGGGGCTGAGTCCCTCCAGGCCTTAGATTGTAGGGGAGGGAGGGAGCATGGCTACAGGAAGGGGGAGAAAGAGGTGTGGTTTCAGGGAGGACGATGTGCCGCCTAGAGAGGGCAAATGCCGCTCACCTAATGGGACCCCATCCCCATAGCCTCCGGGAATGCCCCTCCCCGTGTCTGCTAACGGGGCCAGCCACGGGCAGAGTGATGGCGCCCGGCAGCTCAGAACCAGCAGGACTAGCACACGTGGCTGCAGGAGGGCAGGTTCAGTGTCTGCCCGAGGGCATGTGACTGTCACTTACGTGGACCCAGAAGGTAGCCAGCGCTGTTCAGGGTCCAGCCCCTCTTCTCCTTCACCTTCAAGGGAGAAAGGGGGTCAGGTGGCCAGGGCTGTGCCAGCCTGCATGGCGGGAGTTCCAGACCAGTCCCCACTGGGCCCTGTTACAATTGCCGCTGTTCCTCTCACAATGAGGGCCGGCTTTCCAGTGGAACATGGGCATTGCCATGCATGTGCACTTGTGGGGGGGCGGCCTCTAGGGCCCCCGGGGAGCAGCCTCAGCCGCCCGCTCGCTTCTCTCTCGCTTCTCGGTGATGCGAGGACCCGCTCCTCAGGGAGGCCCCTCCGAGTGAAGCCGCAGCCGTGGCCCACGCTCCCCGCCTCCCCGCAGGCTGTCCACGCACCGGGAGGCGCGACGCCAGGTGACCCTCCCCCGTCTCTCCCCATCCCACTCCCGGCCCAAAGCGCCCGCCCCGCCCGGTCCGGTTCTGTGGTTCTGGTGCAATCGGCCCCTCTGCCGGGGGTGACGTGCGGAGGGCGCCGCCCCGCACTTACCGGGGACCCGCGGGCGGCCGGCAGGGCGGCGAGGAGCAGGGAGGCGAGCAGGAGGGCGCCGCCTCGGGGCATCTGCAAGGGAAGGCGGGGGCGCAGGCTCGTGGGGCGGAGCTCGGACCCGACCCGGCAGGACGGAAGGTGAAGGGGACCGAGGACCCAGGGTTTGCGCTCCCGGACAAGGGATAGGGAACAGGGGACGGAGGATGGGGTCCGGGGTCCGGGGTCCGGGGACAGGGGACAGGAGACAGGGGACAGGGAACAGGGGACGGAGGACGGGGGCCGGGGACAGGGGACAGGGGACAAGGGACGGAGGATGGGGGACGGGGACAGGGGACAGGGAACAGGGGCCGGGGCCGGGCAGAGGCGCCGCGCCCTCGGGTGCGTCCACGGCCAGATCGCGGGGAGGGGCGCGCGGTACCGTGAGCAGCGGCGGTCCGGGCGGCAGTGTCCGGTGGGTGTGGGCGGGTCCGGGCGTCCAGTCGGGTCGGGTGGTCGGTCGGGCCGGGCCGGGCCGGGTCGGGTCGGGTTGGGCCGGGCCTGGCGCTCACCGCATGGCACGGCTCGGGATGCGGAGGAGGAGCGCGGTGGCCGTTCGGTTCCCTCGACGTGTCCGCCGGAGCCGCTGCCGCTATTTATGCGGCTCCGGGGCCGCGTCAGAGCGCAGGTCCCGCCTCCCGCGAGTCCCCGGGGGCGGGGTGCCCGCCGCGGGGCTGGGGCTCCGTGCTTCCGGGAGCCGCGCGGGGCTCCGCATGGGGGGGGGGGGGCTGAGCAGCCCCCACAAACACCGGGTCCCTGCTGTGGGGGGAGCCCCACCCCATACCCAGGATCCTGGTCCTGGGGACAGCGAAGCCCCCACCCCAGCACAGCGCCCCCTGCCGGGGAGGCCGGGAGCTCCGCCAGACACCCCGGGACCACCCCTCCCACCCCTCAGCCCAAAGCAGGCCGGCCCCACAGCCTGGGGCACCCATCTGCTGACTGGCACCCAGCTTTTCCACCTCTGGGTGCCCAGTGACTTCAGTGCCATACTCTGCCAAAAGGAGGCAAATCAGCCAGGGCTGCTGGGCTGTTGGGCCCAGGAGTCCGTTCCCACCTGGAGCTGTGGGTGCCCCCCTTCCCATGGGCACTGCTGGCTTAGAATGGGTCCCTGCCAATGCCCTCCGGCTGACTCCGGGCTCAGGGGACAGCTGCTCTGAGCGGGGTCAGGCAGTGGGCAAGCCCTTGGGGACCCCGGGGGCCGGAGCAGACACCAGCCCGGGCTCCCTGCGGCGGCCGGTGGGCAGGGCAGTAGCCAGAGGCTGTGGCAGGTGGCACAGGAATCGGGCAGGGATGGGCCCTCCTCTACTTGCTCCGGGAATGCCTCCTGAGCTTGGCCAGACCCAGTGGGTTCCTCCCTGGCTCACAGACACCGGGCGCACGGGCACCTCCAGACTGCTAACGAGGGTGAGGCTGGCTGGCAGAACTTTGCCGGAGCCCCTCCTCCTGGCCACGGAGGGCAGCAGTGGCACAGAGGCAGCCCCTGCCGGCAGGGTTAGGCTTAGGGTCGCTGGGAGGTCGGCCCTCGCCCACCCGCCAGCTGAGTGCCAGACTGACCCCTGTCTGGGGGGCGGAGGGAGGGGATCCAGGACAAAGGGTAACAACGGTGATGTAGCCTCCAGCTAGCCTACATTTCCGCTTTATGAACCTTTTGTGCAGACAGCTCCAGGGGAGAGCCATTTGCCTCTGCACGGATGACAAAGGGCCCGACGCTTGAGGACTTGGGTCAAGGCCAGCAGGTGGCCAGGAGGGGGCAGGGTCCTCGCCTGGGTGCCGAGCGCTGCCCTGGTTTGCTAGGAGGGTGAGGAGGGTGCTGGCAGGGAGACGAGGCTTGGAGAGGGTTCCCGGGAGCAGACTCCCGGCTGGGAGGGGGTGACAGGGTTGTTCTCACTCCCAGTTCTGGCAGCCGGGCTGGGAGGACAGCAGGGGCAGGCGGCCTGACCAGGACACATAAACTGGTTTCTGAAGGCCACGGTGATGATGAGGGCGCCTTTCCCCGGGGAGGGCAGCGGGCCTGGGGACAGGGACAGCTGAGAGCGGGCGAGCAGAGGGCAGTGCTCTGTGACTCATCACAGGAGTGACAGTGACACCCCATCATGCCCTGTGCCCTGGTATGTAGGCCGTGTGGGGAGTGGGCAGGGCCGTGCCCCCGCCCCTGAGGGCTGCTGGCTCTCGGGGGCGGGGGAGGGGGGATCCGGCCATCACTCTGAGCACTCGCTCTTCTGAGAACACCAGTGCACCGTGCACCGGGGCCAGCTCCCCGCTCCCCGCTGCGGCCCAGGCCAGAAGGTGCCGCTTTCCACCGACGAGAGCTGAGGGCCCTCTGCTCTGACTCTCTCTGTCCAGGAGGCTCTGGGTCTGAAGAAGCCGATTCTCAGCTGAGAACCGGGGTCCAGGGCGCCCGGCCCGGAGCCAGCATTCAGGTCTCACGTGGGGAGGAGGCGGCCCTGCAGCCCAGCACGGTCACGTGAGGCACTGTGTCCGAAGAGCCCAGCCCTTCCTGGAGGCAGGACCCCGGTGGCCGGGGAGCCGGCGAGGGTGCGGGCGTGGACCCAGGCGGCGTTGGCACGCGGACTAGAACAAGAACGTGGCCGCCGGCCGCTTTTCCCACGTGTGTCACGGGGAATCATCAGCAATCTTCTCGCGTGCCATGAATCCACTGAACAAAAACCAAGCTGCTCCCCACGTTCCTAGTCTCCCACCAGGACCCCACGGGGACAGCTGCTTCCCCTCGGTCGGGGCGGCAGGGTGACCCGGCCAGGAGGAGGCAGGCGAGGCAGCAGCTGTGATTTCCGCCACGGACCGGCCGTGGCGGGCCGAGGAGGCAGCGCGCGTCACGTTGGGGCAGCGCCTGCTCCCGGCACAGGCTGTGCTGGCCCCACGGCCTCGCTCTAATGTGCTGAGATGACGCAGTGAGTGTCACTGTCAACCTGTCATCTCGAAGACGGGTCAGCGTGTGGCGGGCAAAACGGGGCACCATTACCCTAATGGAACTGAGCAGAAAGCGTAATTTTGTCCTGCATCGTGAGCTGGCCGTCTTCCTTAGAAGTCCTGTCCACCACCTTCAAAACCACCGGGTCTGCCGAGCAGAAAGAGCAAGGGTGTCGGGACCCGGGCTGTGCCGCACCGGAACCCAGCCATGGGCAGTGAGCACACTAGCACCCCCTACCACTCCCTACTACCCCTGCCACCCCCTGCTACCCCCTGGCACGCCCTACCACCCCCTGGCACCCCTTACCACTCCCTGTCATCCCCCTGCCATCCCCTGGCACCCCCTACCACTCCATAACACCCCTGTCATCCCCCTGCCACCCCCTACCACTCCCTGTCATCCCCCTGCCATCCCCTGGCACCCCCTACCACTCCCTAACACCCCTGTCATCCCCCTGCCACCCCCTGGCACCTCCTACCACCCCCTGGCATCCCCTACCACCCCCTAGCACCCCCTACCACTCCCTAACACCCCTGTCATCCCCCTGGCACCTCCTACCACCCTACCACCCCCTGCCACCCCTTCATGTGTATGCACGCGAAGACTTGCATGCTTTGTCCACAGAAGCGGGCGGGGCTATTACTGGGGTGCCGGCTGAGGAGAGGAGGGGGAGCAGACAGACAGGAGGGGTTCGTGGTTTGGTGAGGAGAACCCCTACCACCCGGACTGCAGCAGGGAGACTGACAGCAGACGCCCCTGCCCTCACGGGGACCCAAACACAGAGCAGATCTGTTGCTGCAGGGAGCTTGACCTCACAGGTGGACAGGATCGGCCAGGGCTCGGTGAGGGTCACGTGGGGAGGCCCCGTTTAGGTCCGTTCCCTGCTCCCTCCAGCTGCCCGGACTGTGGCCGTGAGTCTGGAGTGGAGCTGCGATTGGGTCCCCCGGTGACGGCTTTGGGTGACAGCAGACCCACGGGGGCCAGGCCCTGGGCTGCCCACCTCGGGCTCTTAAGCCCATGTTAATCGGGGTGTTTTTATTTATTTATTTTATTTTTATTTTTATTTTTTAAATACGTTTTATTGATATTTTACAGAGAGGAGGAAGGGAGAGAGATAGAGAGTTAGAAACGTCGATGACAGAGAAACATCGACCAGCTGCCTCTTGCACACCCCCTACCAGGGGTGTGCCCGCAACCAATGTACATGCCCTTGACCGGAATCGAACCTGGGACCTTTCAATCCGCAGACCGACGCTCTACCACTGAGCCAAACCGGTTTCGGCAATCGGGGTGTTTTTAAATGATATGTAGTTGGAATTACTCCTGTTTAAAGTAAGTTTCACACAAAAAAGTTCAACACGTGTTTGGTGAGTGAATGAAGGGATTCAAATGACTGAAGGGACGGGCCGCCTCCCGTGCTGGCAAGCAGCCTGCTGGGGAGATGGGCTCATCAGAAGGAGAGGCGTGGGCCCTGGCCGGGTGGCTCAGTTAGTAGGAGGTCATCCCATCCACCAAAAGGCTGCAGGTTCGATTCCTGATCAGGGCACATACCAAGGTTGCAGGTTCAATCCTGAAAGGGGTGTGTAGAGAAGGCCACCAATCGATGTTTCTCACATCAATGTCTCCCTCCGTTCCTTTCCTTTCCTCTCTCTTCCCTCGGGTGAAGATAAAAAAATAAATTTAAAAAAAGGAGAGGCTTGGAAGAGAAGATGGCAGATGGGCACTGCCTGCCAGTGATCTCATTACTCTTGGAGAAATGGGGAAATGGCTTAATGATCTCATATTGGCTTTTTTAAAAACATACACTGAGTGGCCAGATTATGATCATCTCTGAATGCATAATAATCTGGCCACTCGGTGTACATCCTATATAATAAAAGGCTATTATGCAAATTGTCCCCGCAACCAGGAGTTTGACCAGCAGGCAGGCTGGCCAACTGCCCATGGCCCCTCCCCCTGGCCAGACTGGCCAGACCCCACCCATGCAGGAATTCATGCACCAGGCCCTACATACTGAGTGGCCAGGTTATTATTATTCAGAGATCATAATAATCTGGCCACTCAGTGTATATTTTTATTAACTTGGGAGAGGAAGGAAGAGGGCGAG